TTTTTTTTTATTTTTATAAAAAGCGTCATCTTTACATATAGTATGACGTATGATAACAAAATCAAAGAAATAAATTGATAAAAAAAATTCGTATTAAGACGACGGTTTAAATATAAGGTATGACGTATAAAGGGAATAAATACGACGTTAAATTTTATAATACGTCGTTAAATGAAAAACAAACGTGGTGAGATTTAAAGATACCGTCGTAGAACTATACAAGAAAGACGTCGATATATTTTTATTTTCCGTCGTTGTACATTAATTTAATACGGCGATATTTTGTATTTTACCGCCGTGGATTTATTTGTAATTATATGGCGCCTTATACGAAAACTTGGTCGTGTTATTTTCTGCATAAAAACGGCCGCTTTTTTTTGAAATCGTCGTCTTTACTTTCTACGTCGGTCGATTCATAACTTCTGCCGTTCTTTATTTGCTTTGATTTTACACTGCGGAAATCCTGTTTCAAATAGACGTCGGTTTTTTAATTAGGTACGTCGTTGTTTATGAACAACCATTTGAATCTCCCTTTTTTAGGTGTCTAAGGTGTTATTACACGGCGGTTTTATAGAACCGTCGTCTTTTAAAAAACAACGACGGTTTTCACTTAGACCGTCGTTTTTTTCTGGTCGTCTTTGTCACTTTTTGTAGTAGTGCATAAAGCAATCATTGAATTTTCAAAGCTGCAATTTAGCTAATAAACTTACATAATTATTAAATTAACTAGCTAATGTTGGTCAATTTGCATAGAACATGAGGCAATTACATTTGATTCCCAGTTCTTCACACTTGGAAATTAATTAAGAAAAAGTTTAGCACCCAAAACAAAACCAATGGGTTAAAACAATTCTGAAATCTGAAATGTATTGGACCTAGAATAATTAAAACAAGTTATCAGAGAACCATTTTTCATATTAGACCAATCAACTAACCAACCAACCTGCAGTTCATCTCTGCTTAATTACTACTTTCGTAATGTTTTGTTATTTCCTAATTTATCTTTTGAAAGTGTTGTAATGGTTAGGGCGCATACTTGATAATTAAAATTATGCATATTGCTATAATTCAATGTTTAATTAGTTGATAACAAGTAAGCGACTACCGATTTGGGTTATTTTCACAGAAGATAGATAGTTCCGATCATCAAACCACATTGCAGGATGAGATCATTGAATGTACGTACCTTGGAATTGAACAACCCAACACAACGCATTATCATCAACAAAAATCTATTCAGCTCATAAATATATATATATATATATATATATATATAAGCCTGGAATGTTCTTGACGATTGTCTGCGACGCGCCATATTTGGTAAGTTGCAGGTGCACTAGAAAAATTGCTTGCCAGAGCCACAATAATGTGAAAATGAAATTGATGTAGTTGTTAGAAGTACTGATGATCATTTTCTCTTTTTCTTTTCCCCTTTGAGACTTATTTTATATATGTTTGTGTTGTGGTTTTTGATTTTGATATTTGAATTTTAAAAATAATTCAAATAAATAATTAATTAATTAATTAATTAACTATTCTATTTCCAAGAGTAAGTCTTATAAAGTGCTCCAATGAACTCTAGTGTTCCAATGTGGGACTAATTTCAACTCAAACATGTTTGCAATAATATGTGAAAATTTTGTGTATAATATGTGAAATTTGTGTGCATTATTGAATTTTTTTTGTAAAAAACACGTGTATTAAATATGAAAAATACGTACGTATGTGTACAATACGAGTATTGTATGTTTATTTTTTCAAAAATATGTATTTACCGAGTCTTTAAGACATGTACAAAAAACGGATGTATTATTGAAAAATACATATGTACGTGTATAATACAAGTACTAAACGTGAAAATGCTAAATTCTGTATACGGATAATAACTATGAGAAAGTAAAAAATCAAAAGGGAACAATAGAGACTTGGGTTATGGCCTAATAGTAATTAAAAAAACACGCCCAGCGCCTAAGGGAATACGTGTGAAAACAGGTATAGCCGCGCGGCTATACATGTCCTAAAAACAAACAGTAGTAAATCCGTTCGGCTATACTATTTCTAGAAATTATATAGCCGAGCGGCTATACATGTTCTGAAAACAAACAGTGGTAAATCCGCGCGGCTATACTATCTCTAGGAAAAAAATAGTCCTATGTACAGCCGTGCGGCTATACGATTTATAGTGCGCCGCTAACACTAGGAGCCCACGTGTCAAAATAAGTATGGTCGCAGGGCTATACTAAAGCCGTGCGGCTTAAATACTTATATTTATAAATAATAAAAAAGACCCGCCTAGTGCCTAGCGCCTAGCACCACGTGTGAAAAACAAGTATAACCGCTCTGTTATACGTTTTTAAAAAAAGGTTGTAAAGCCGCGCGGATATACAATTTTTTTTTTTAAATAAATAAATCTTAGATGCATTAGTTTATACTTTATTAATATTAATAGGCTATACAAGGAACATATGCTTGAGATGTATATATAGAAACTTCATAATTTGATGACCCCAAAGTAAATTGCTTATTTGCTTAGCCGAAAAAAATGTAAGTGAAAAACAGAGTTACAATTAGGGTAAAATGAAAGAATTACAAATATTTATTATTTGACTCAATGAAAAAAAAGTGCTGAAAATTCATCACCCTTTCTAGGGAAGAAAACTCATCACCCTTTTTTAGAAAATTATCATGCATCTAATCATGTATTAATTTTTAAATATAGTTGAAACTAACCAAACTGGACAAATTTCTCGATAAACTGAGTGTAGCCAATTGAATGGATCGTCGGCTTGGTGTTGGTCTCACCGATGAGATCAACAAAAGTAATTTAACTAATACAAAGTATATCTGTAAACGAATTGGATTCGGATCAGATATACCTCAATTCAAATCTGAATTCATTTATAATCGGATTATCGGAATCGGACTATCAATCCATATTTGTTACGCATCGGATTCAGATCAGATTATTATCATATTTATTTTGAGATGTACAAAAAATCAAAATTTCATTAGTAACCTTGTTATTTAATTTATTTATCTACTTTTTTTAAATCATAAATATTAGTTTTAAGTGTATTCTTAGTGCATATAAAACTAAAATTATTCATTTACACATAAACTACATTGTACTACTCATATTCGGATCCATTTATAATCAAATTATCTAGATTCGGATTGTAATTGGATTGAGAAGTCCAATCCATCTCCTATTAATTACACCGAATTCAAATCGGATTTAGATCAAAATCTGATCCATTGACATGTCTACTACAAAGTAGATTTATTCACCCTTTGGAGCAAAACAGGCCCCCATATATGTTTACTATTCGACTTAATTAAAAGAGAGTACTCATAATTCAACATCCTTTATATTAATCTTGACATAGTAGCAGAATAGATTAAAGAGAATGTTCTAGCCACCTTTCGATCATATCAAAGCTTTCTCTGGGATTAAACTCGGGACCTGTATGACCTCCTCCCTGCACAATTGCAAATGGAGTTATTTGTTATGCAAGTATCCATTACGGTAGCAATGTTCTCGAATAGCACTATTATTGTAGCAAATTGACCCAATATATATCATGCCTTTATAGTGGCATATGTCAAATGATACTCTCCATTCGAATAGCCAACTCTGTATCTGTAACAATGAATAAAGAGAACAAAAATAGAAGTTAATTGGATAGTGAAACTCTCTAACCGGAAAAAACGAAAATCTGAAGAAAAAAATATATATCATGAAAACAATAAAAACTGAGATAGATAATACAAACCCAGCAACTTGATTGTTAGAGAACCATGGTTTCCAGTCATCAACAATTGGCAAGCTCAAGGATTCTATCCATGCCTCTGTACTTATATGGGGAACTTTCAAGTCATGATCCCCACTGCAGAAGATGCCATAAAACTTGTAGTTATTTGGTGGCAAAAGGTAGATTTGTTGATGCATTTGGTTGTTGTGGGTTTTATTTATGCAACTACAAGATAAATCAATTCTACAATATTCTAATTAACAATAAAAATGAGACTGTTAGCTCTCAAAAGTCAAGAAGGAAAAATAAGAGGATATAGGAAAATAAAATGATATATGTATATGCAATGATACAAAGAATCAAAATTAAAAACTAGAGTGGATGCGCTCCCCACTCTTCATCCGAGTTCGAATCCCCCATCCTAGTTTAGATTAGTTTAAAATATATTATCGCTTGTATAAAAAAAAACTAAAAACTAAAAACAATTTCAATATAGTTTTCCTTTCATGCATTTTTCTTCACCTCTGCTTTTCCCATCTTTTTCTCATCGTTTTCCATCAAAGTTTCTATCCCTTTCCCAATATAATTCATAATTTCTCATACCATCTTTTTACAAAAGAAAAACTGCTGTGGACCATTAAAAGTTCAAAAGAATGATATAAACAATAATCTTACCTGTAGACAAAAGCCCGGAGGGATTTTTGCATGAGGTTTCGATGATAGTAAACACTACTATGGACATCTTTTATGTAAGGTATTGAGCTATTGCATCTTGCCCATTCAGCTTTTGTTCCCTATTTCTCACAGTAAAATTGTCATTGTTTTTAATCGAATAGTCGCAAGTGTTACATGTTCTGTTTAATTGCAAGCATCATATATATGTATATATGCATACCTCCCGAATGTTGAGAGCTTTACGAACATTCATATCATTTGCCCAAACCTCAGAGTACCGTTGCCTCTCTACCTACAAAACCAAAAAAATTCACATATATCATCTACTAGTAATAAAACACGTCAATTTTAGGTTAGTCCAACTCCTTATAAACTCTTGCTACGTTTTTAAACATTCCAATATGAGACATTTCTTCACATTCTCACATAGTCTAATGGCATCGGAGGTCAGTGATGAAGCTGACCTTGTTGAAGGGGCCAATATATAGCTCAGTTTTTCCAATATTTCTAACCAATTACATAGCTTTATAACATTATTTCAGCATTTTTCAAAGGCCATGGACTAAAGTGAAATTTCATTCAAACTATATAAGGATGCAAAAGGCAATCCACCCTTGTCAATATACATTGAATTTGAGAGAAGCAACATTACCCGACACAGTTGTTCAGGAAAGGGAAAGCTTAAGAAATTGTCATCATCGACACCAGGAGCGCATGCAGGTGCCAATATATGACTCTCCTCAATTCTGCTAATGCACTGCAAATGCAATAAGCACGCCGTTTTAAAATCGAAGATAAAACATGCATGTTGGACCGTATTGAACATCTACCTAGCTCATACCTCCTCGAAAGCTTGAAGATTGTTGAGGCAAAGCTCATTGTTTGGATCCACATCTATGTAATCCCCCTTGCAATTCCTTTTGGTCGACTTCAAAAACATAAATTAAGCAATAGTAAAATTCAAAGTTTAAATCTATTATCTTATTGAAGTATGAAAAAGTTGAGCAAAAAGTTCATCTTGCGTAAGTAGTACCAATCAAGAGCTTCCTTTGTTTTTCATATAATTATAAGTTATATTCAGAATTTAATTAGATGATTTTGCTCAGAAGTTACAAGGAAAAGTTGATCTCCGAAACGAAACCAAGTGCGACGTACATACCTCAAACATTCTAGTTGATATAAGCGCCATGCGATGAGCGTATTCAATTTGCGAATTCAATTCCTCTTTTCGATTTGTAACTGGATTGCCAATTACGTATCCCTGGATGCATTGAAAAGAAAAACTAACTTCTGAAAAAAATGTCATGAATGTGAAAGTATAATAAGGTATCTATTTGGAATATCATACTTTGAGATTCAAAAACGGCGAGATTCCAGCTTCAATACCTACAACAACAACAACCCTCCACAATGCTCAGAACAATCCTGACTGAGTATGAATCACCAGCAATGTATTTGTACGTAAATTACCGTTAGTTATGTCTTGAACAATGATCGGAACAATCTTGCCTGAGTACGAATCACCAGAAATGTAGAGTGGATTTGCAAGAAACTTGGGATGAGTCAAAAGCCACTGGTCATGATTTTAAGGAGCAAGAACACTTCATATTAGTATTCTCATGTTTTTTCCCCTGGCCATATATATAGTGTGACCAGAAGAATATAAGGAAGCGGGGTGATACGGAAATCAGAAAACCATTAGTAGTGTAAAATTAAGTTTTGTGATGAAAGTTGTCAACGTAAGAGTTCCCAAATTATGAATTTTATTGAACAAATTCTTTGTGCAAACTTGGCTCACCCTTTGAACAAACTCAGAAGCTCGTTTTGCATGAATGGTGTCACTAGTGTTGTACCCATCTGTTGTTGTGGAGTAAGAGAAACCAGTCCCGGCAGGAGCGTCTAGAAATATTATGTTTGCTAACTAAAAAGAAAAATGTGCACTTTCAATATATCTTCAGAAGCGTAACCATATGCATCAACTGGTCACATGACCATTCATATATAGGAAAGTAAAAGAAAAGATGGAAATTCCAGACCTTTGTCCATGAGTATGGATTCAAAACAAGTTCTACTGGATGCTTTGTTATACTTGTAAAACTGAAAGATATTGGACCTGTAATGAATGAACAACTTACTTATCATGTCAAGTCAAGCTATGAATGGCAACGGAGCGAATCGGGGGATGGTATGGTTAAGATGGATAGTCAAGCAATCATGTCATTTATGGATACTGCTCAAAATAATTCCTAATAAGGGCGGAACCAAGAATTTTTAACATGCATATAACTTTTAGTTTGACATTTAATTTTATATCGAAAAAGTGAAGCTAGCTGAAAACAAAAATAGGCATGCATTTTCAATATTGCCATTATAAGAGGCATAACCATGGGCGGCCCTGGCATATGGTGCAAGTGGCGCCACCGCACAAGGCCTTCGAAATTTTTTTACTTTATATTATGTATTAATATTATAAAAACTCTATATATACTCCAGCGTGCAACAATTTGACACAAAATTGTATTTGGTGGAGTTGGTTTCTAGTGCACATTATATATCACACCCATAAGCTTTCTCCTAAAAGCCAAAAAAAAAACAGTAATTTCTTCCACTCAAAACAAAACCAAAACAGAAATTCATGTCATTCTTCTTTCTCTTGAACTCTTATCTTTTTATCGAACATACTAATATTTAACTTTATCAAATGATAATATTAAAAAAATTTATGAATATAATTTGTGATTGTTATTATATGCTAATTGATGAATTTTAGTTATAAAAAATAATTTAATTTATGATATTAAGTTATGGCATTTTTTATTTTTATTTTTTGTATTTTCATATTAGACTATGTGAGGACTCTAGTTTACGTTTCGCACAGGACCCTCCAAATCTCAAGACTGACCCTGGGCATAACCATATGCATCAATCGGTCACATAACCAAAACCGGAGTTGGAAATTCCAGACCTTTGTCCGTGAGTATGGATTCAGAACAAGTTCTACTGGATCCTTTGTTATACTTGTAAGACTGAAAGGTATTGGACCTGTAACCATTGAACAACTTACTTATCAGGGCCATCTTTCCATATCACGCCAACCAACATGCATTCGTGGACCAGATCAAATTGATTTGTAACAAGCTCTAAACGGGTCGGATATGGATCAGATCACCTTATATTTGATCTGATCAGATAAGAAAAAATTACGACCTGATCTGATTCAATAACTCGACAGATCATTCACAACTAGATCCATATATGATTTGTTGGATTATCGGATATTGGATCTAATAACCCAATCTGAATTATTTTACATAATAAGTTGAAAAATATTTGTATTATTTAAAAGAAGTTCATGATATTGTTACATGTGTGCATATATATTTAGTACATAAAATAAATATATTTATATCAAATCATATCGGATTAGGCCAAATTCAGATTTGTTTCATAGAGGTGGCCCCATTATATTGGTGAACTTCATAGAGGTGGAGCACGATATAATATAAAAATGTGGTAAGCTTAGCATTATCCTTAAATTAATAGTGTAGAATGAGATACAAACCATTTTCATAAACGAGGCCAGAAAAACCGGAGCATCGAGGGCCTCCGGTGATCCAAAGCAGCAGAGGATCATTTTCTGGGCTCCTTTCTGACTCAATGAAATAGTAGAACAGCTGCAGCTCATCCTTATTGCCTACCCCAACGTACCTTGAGAGATTTTAGACACAAATTAACAATTAAAATCCATTATCACTATACTCATCCCAATCATTTTTCCTTAATTACCCACTTAATTATTTCATGCTCATCAACACAAACTCAGTACACACATAAATACATTAACCAAAAATGAAACTTACCCAGTTTCAAGCTTGAATGGGAGGTCACCAGAAAATCCTGGCAAGTTCTTGATGATTGTCTGCGTTGAACAAAAGTTGGGAAGCAGCAGTAGCAGCAAAAGTGATTTTTTCCAGAGCCACAATAATCTAATGCAGATCGTGAGGCTTCTGTTGGTTTTGGTCATTGTCCTTTCTTGTTTCCTTTCTTCTATAGGAAACTATGCAATCTAAAAGCGCACGTACCGTTTAAAGGATCTGGACCAATGGTCATGTCTCGCATAGCCCAAATGGTTTATTTATGGTAAAATGTACTTGCATGTTATATCCCATTTGGTTCGATGTCTATCATAAGAGCAAAACCTAAAGTCTATTGTCCACAAACGCATGATGATAAAACGACAAAAGTCAGGGACCCCGCAATATGCCTCTGTATTCAATTATCTATAGGATAATTGTCACTTCCCATCAGTCCCAATAACAAGAAAAGGTAAAACTTTCTTGTGTTTTATTTTCCAACAATAATATAATGATTAATAAAAAAAATATTTTATGCGTTATTGTTTTATTAGTTGGGAATAGTAAAATATGTTATTCCTGTTACATAAGAGTTTCTCTCTAATAATAGGTGATAGTTGTGAAACTTACAAACTAAATTTGAAACTACTAATCTACAAACTACAAGTCAATAATCTTTTCCACTAAATTAGACGAGGTTGACAATAATAACGTGTTTTACGTACACGTCTATACAAACATGTGATGGACATAGGCCAATTGAATATTACTTGGTCTTTCTCCACTTCTACAGCTCTACAGCAGAAGTGACAGAAAAGGACATGTGAAACACAAACTTTGCATACACCTAACTGCAAGAAGTTATCACGCAAATAATAATATATTGATTGAGCAGAGGATTAGCTTGTCAACGTTATCCGCGATCCACATCGTTATCATATTTATTATTGATTGCATAGGATACGCAGAGGATAAGCTCATCAACGTTATCCTCGATCCCAAACACTTATAGTGGATCAAGCCACACATAATCACTCTTCCCACTAAGTCATTATAGTAGCCCAAAAAATACAGGTTATTCATTCGGATAATCATCTCATCTTCCAAGTCAAACGGCAATCGGTGAGGTAACGACAAAACGATGATCAAGCCAACTAATTAACACGTGTCATGTGTTATAATTGGATTTATACATTTATTATAATATGAGTGAACATTTAATAATATTATATTATAAAAACGAGAAATATCAGTTTTATCGATCTATATTATAATACAACATAATCTTATTTTAATACCACACAATAATATTTTTCTAGAGTACTGAGCTTGGGTCTGCCACTAGGGACTAATTCAAATATATTAACTTAATTAGGATATGCTAGAAAATACACATATACTTCACACCTCACCACCTATTCATATGTCTGACATGTATTAACCGAATTAATCATCGTTAACCATCCAATAATTTATGTATATTTATATATATAAAGTAAAAGACGGAGAATAGTAAAAACATTTAAAATATCAGAAAATGTTCTTGGTTAATTCAAACATTAAGAATTGAAATTATTAATTGAATGAGGATAATATAATAAATTCACATTTTTTATATTTAAAAAATTAAAATTAAAAATAAAATCAGATAATAGGTCCTACTTTTATAGAATATAACTACCCATGTTATTTTTTCTTAATTCTAAAAATAAAATAAAAAATAAAAAAGAAAATCAATTGGCACATTCGTGAGTGTGTGCCAAGAGGCTAGTATATCATAATGACGACAGAGAATATTAATTCACGTTCAAACAATATGTTGTTTTCCTGTTTTGCCCTTCTATCATTGGGCTTCACCACCTTCCCCTTCCAGAACCTATCTCTCTTGGTTATAATTGAAGAAAGAAGAAAATGAAAATACCTTCAGTTTTTTGTACTGTTTTGTTTGATATCTCTTTCTTTGGAGTTTTGTTTTTTTGGAGAAGATTCTTTGGAGTTTCTAACATTTTTCTAGGCCATGAATTCTCACAAGGACCCTGGGTCATCGTTCTTGTTTTGTCTTTATACTTTTTTTTTTCTTATTGTGAATCAAATTAACCCAGAACTTTGATACCAAACCCGTGACTGATCCCCTGCAATACCAACTTAATTAATGAATAACGATGAACAAACAATTAATTCAGCGATATTTTTCTTTATGTTAAAAGCGATTCAGAAAAGAGAGTACGTCGTTACGAATATATATATATATATATAAAATGCCGGGTAATACCGGATTTGTTGTAACATTCAAATATGGGATATTTCAGCTAGGCCAAAAAAATGGTATTAAATTGTCCCCAATTGATTCTACCGTAAGTTTGAGTAGTTCAGCATTCCTTTATAGTTTGTATTTATGTTTCTGTATGTATGAGAGGTGTACAATATACATTGAATACGGATAGAGGCTTGAGAGCATTTCTGACCATGAATTTTTTGGTGCTAAATTTATTAGTGACACCGAAAGCAAAATAATTGAAGTCTGGGGGGAATATTGTCCCAGTGTAATCTGAAAAGTTTCGTTTCAATGGGCCTATAGACCAAAAAAAAAAAAAAACCAAAGTAACAATCATAGTATTGAAAGATAAAATGAACCCATTAATTTGCAACAGGACATGTAACAAATGGACAGATTTGGCCAACGAAGGTAACATATTTACCTTGTGAGTGGCATTATTAGCTGGGAGTAGAAAAATAGCGATATCTCCGTTTCATGGAAGTCTTTTTCCAGTAAGAGAGTGCAGGCAATGAAGCACGTTGCAGATGCATATTTTATTTTATGGGGATAGAGCTTAAAACAGTCGCTGATTTGTTAGAACTTTTGTTGCATCTTGGATTTAGTTTCAATTTTGGGTTTTCAATACGATGGTGGTGCATCAAATCCAAAATGTCCAGAGTTATTATGGTTTGGACAAAGAGGGCTGGTTTAATTTGGGCCTTAATTTTTGGGTCCAGCTCAGGTCCAATGGGTCAGCCCAGTAAAACCAAAAGATAATTATTGACTTTCCATCCTGGCAAATCAATCTGATATAATAAAATTGAAAGAAAATGAAGGAGCAAACTTCAATTAAATTTCCAAATATCAATTGCCTATGAAGGAAACAAAATTAAAAATGGGAGTTGATAAAGGAATTGAGAAATGGTTCAATCTCTTTCACACCAACTCTTTCCTATGTATACTTCTTCTTCTTTTTTTTAATCCAAAGAATCAAAAAATCAAATCCTTCACTAATATTAATTAAGCTTAATTACTATTTTACTTCTTGAAACGTGCACTCAGTCTCACTTTACTTTTGAAACTGAAATTTTTTCACTTTACCACTTTTGTCAATTATGCAAACCCACCACTTCTTCTCTTGACAGCATAACTTCTACTTCTTGGGTACAAATCAGCCTTCACAACATTCACTTCATCTTCCTCAAAAGAACAAGCCCTCTCCTCATCAATCCTTCGCATCTTCAACCCTACACTATAACTCCTCATCCCCATCCCATTCATAGTTTGTTGTCCCGCAATGGGTTGAGCTGCTTGTCTCACAACTGGTCTTTTATGCACATCTAAATCACCTGCAGGCTTATTATTGTTCTTCTTCTCTACATCATTCCTCTTTGAATTCTTCGACGACGCCGTTCTGAGAAGCTGCCTCAAGTCCTCATCGTCGCTAGAGCTCGAGGAATTGACACTGAAGCTCTTGGGCAAGCGTGGAACTTGAGAGGCAGTGTAGCCACTCACTCCACCACCACCATAACCTACCTTGCTAGCACAATCTTCCAAGCTCCTCATGTAAAAGTTCCTGGCCTTGGTCAAGGTCCTAATGGGTGCACAAATAATGTACATCAACTTGCTTTGCTTCTTTGCGTTGCTCCTCATTGTAAAAAATTTGATGTGAACGGTTTTGAATATTGGGTTTGGACAGAGATTTTAGAACAAGAAAGGAGATTTGAAAAATATTGAAACTGTGAGCTGATGAGGAGAGTTGGTGATGTTTGTGGGTTTATAAAGGTGTGGGAGATCTGGGTTTTGGACATGTTTCTTGGAAGTAACATCAGAAGCAGTCTAAATCGGACGGCAAGCCGAGAGAGAAGAAAAGAAAAATCATTAATTGCGACGTGTGGACTTTGGACTTTATCAAAATTCTTAAATCATATGGGACATGTGAAATGTTCAAACAGGTAAATATTAATTTATAAGACAACCAAAAACAACGTGACAAAAGCATATAATATAATAATAGGAGGGTGATTACCCTTCCCCAAAGTTGGGGCGTATTTGAGCGGGTCATACAAAGTTTACCAATCTTTTGTTTTATTTACCCCTTTTCTTTTCTACCACAACATTTTCTATTAGGTAAAAACGAAAAACCTCTTTTTTCTATTAGATCAATCGAATTTATTGTTCTTACGCATTTGTCATTGGGGTCAATAATTTCTATTTACTCTTGTAACTGATGATTTTTATGCCTAATTTATGAATATAATTATTATTTTTCTCCAAACAAATAATTTCTTATAATAATTAGAAGTTGTGAAATGGAGTCCATACATTACATCTCTAGTAATTAATGTACGAATGCATGACTAAGTTGACTAAATCTGCGTTCAAATTGGCTTTGATTTGGGGAAGCAATGCTGATTTGTACGGTAGCATAACAAATATGAGTCCATTTAGTCACCAGTTTGGTTTGATCATCTCCCTCCATTATATAAGCGATTAACTCAATATTATATATTCTACATATATCACAAGGAACTTTAAGTAGTTTAGAAAACTACTTTCCTTTGTAAATTGAGAAATTTTGAGAGAGGGGATGACGTCAAATTTGAATGCACGATGAAATATAAAATGGTTGATAACAATATGTACGATGAAATATAATAGTAAGTGATATAAAGTCGAACCAAACTAAACTAACTGTGGTTTAGTTCAGTTCAATTTAAGATTACATTTTTCTATATAAAAAAATTGCTCAATTGACGTATAAATTCTTAGCTTTCAAGTTTAGAGTAGTTATTGACCAAAAAAAGAAGTTTAGAGTAGTCAAATAACTAAAGAAGTCATGCCATCGCCATTCTCGTCTACTATTTACGTCTCTCTCTCTCTCTCTCTCTCTCTCTCTCTCTCTATTCTCTTGCGTATCCAAACCCTAATCGAGTCCACTCGTTTCATAAAAAAAAAGTGAAGTGAAATGGTAAGTATTTTTGTTTTGTTTTTTTGACTTTGCCTGTGGATCGTGTTGTTCTCATTGTACTGTTAAAATGAACCGGCAAAACCTTCCCTTCGGAAATTGCTGAACATTGCCTTTTGGATGGTCCATGCACATGCATTGTTGTTCTTATTATATTTGGTAATTCTATGAGAGTAGAAATTTAAACTTTGTTTGCTCTCTCTCTCAAACACAGAAGGGTCACAGTTCTCAGAACCAAACAGAACCACCCAAGTTGCGTTCGAAAGTGGAGATCAAGACGGATAAAATTAGCAACTTACCAAGTGATGTTATAGAAAAAATTTTGTTACTTTTGCCAATTAGAGATGCAGTGAGAACAAGTGTCTTATCAAGAAAGTGGAGATACAAATCGGCTACGCTTCCACACCTTAAGTTCGATAGTCTGTCTGTATCAACTGTAAAACAGACAACCTTTGCAAATATCGTTGATCAAATACTCTTACTTCACATTGGCCCCATATGCAGTTTCCTGCTTTCTCGTCCCGATGATTTTCTAGCAGACAGTGATATTGAACGATGGATTCTTCATCTATCAAGAAACTCTATCAAAGAGTTCACACTGGAAAATTGGAAAAGAAATCTCTGCGAGATGCCTTCATGTTTCTTCTCCTGTCAAGATATGACTCATTTAGACTTATATAGGTGCTTGCTACAGCCTCCATCAACATTCAAAGGCTTTAGAAGTTTGAAGAGTCTTTGCATGGAGAATGTTACCTTGGCCCAAGATGCGTTTAAGAATTTGATTGTTTGCTGTCCTCTGCTTAAGACACTGCGTTTGCTAAACTGCGATGGTTTACGTCATCTCAAGATGGATGCACCGAAACTAGAATTACTTGAGATTGAGGTTGATGAAGGTGTTTTTGAGATGGTCAATCTTGAGAATACCTTAAATCTTGCTGATGTTTCCATTACTTTGGCCATCAATGATGACTTAAGACAGGTTCCTGACAGCAATTTAGTCCAATTTTTTGTTCACTTTCCTCATATTCGAAGGCTCACATTTGGAAGAAACTTTTTAAAGGTAATTGGTAGTTTGTTTTTGTGGTTTCACACACTTAATTTAAAGACCATTTACACTGCTATGGGAATTTGGAGCTTATACATTGAGTCTGCTGTTTCATGCATCTTTGCGTCTCCAGTATTTGGCTGTTCGTGCCTTGCCAGGAAAGCTGCCTCAACCATGCCTATTTTTGAAGTTTCTTTCTATTAGCATCCGCTTTAAAGCTCTAAAGGAGATTTTAGCAGCTCTTTGCCTTCTGAGAAGCTCCCCTGCCCTACAAGAACTTGAAATTTTTGTGAGTTTCATTCTATCAACCCCTGCAATGTTGCTCTGTTGAATTCACACTCTCAAAACAACTGCACTTCATGATATTGTAGATTACAGAGCTGTTTTCCTAGAAAGTTCATGATTCTGATGTTATATATCTTGTTTAGGCTCACCACGAAGATCGGGATGTTGTGGGAGAAGTGAACTCTTGGTTAGATGACAATCAGAATTGCCAATTCACTGAACTTCAGCGTGTGAAAATGATAAGCATGTCTGGTGGCAAACATGAACTAGATTTCATCAGATTTCTGCTTCTAAGTTCCCCTGTGCTTGAGAGGATGACTGTTAAGCCAGCTTCGTACAATGGTTCTTCTGAACTTTTAAAAAAGTTGCTCCGGTTTAGGCGTGCCTCATTGTGTGCTGAGATAATCTACTTGGACCCATGATCGTGCATCAATTTCTGCAGCTAACACATGACATTATTGCAGAAATGTGGGTTTGATTCAAGTATTTGTGGTGCATGTATGTTTTTCTCAACAATGTCTATAACACTGCCAATTATCTTTGATGAGACAATTTTTGACATTTTTTTAATCTAAATTTCCAAATATCGATTGGTAATGAAGGAACCAAAGTAAACAAATAGAGTGGACTAAAGAGAGAATTGGTTCAACTCTTTTCAATACATACATTTTTTCACACCAAAAAAATCAAGAAATCAAGTCGTCCATTTATTATGCAAATCCACCACTTCGTCTGTTGACAGCATAACTTCTACTTCTTGGATAGAAATCAGCCTTCACATTCGCTTCATCCTCCTCAAAAGAACAAGCCATCTCCTCATCAATTCTTCCCATCTTCAACCCAACACTGTAACTCCTCACCCCCATCCCATTCATAGTTTGTTGTCTACCAATGGGTTGAGCAGCTTGTCTAACAATTGGTCTTCTATGCATATCTGAATTACCTTCTGACTTAACATTGCTTTCTTTCTCTGCATTGCTCTTCCTTGACGACGCCGTCCTGAGAAGCTGCCTCAAGTCCTGATCATCATCGCTAGAGCTCGAGGAATTGACACTGAAGCTCTTGGGCAAGCGTGGAACTTGTGAGGTAGTGTAGCCACTCACACCACCACCATAACCCACCTTCCCAGCATAATCCTCAAGCCCCCTCATGTAAAAGTTCCTGGCCTTGGTCAGAGTTCTAATGGGTGCACAAATAATGTACATCAACTTGCTTTGCTTCTTTGCTTTGCTAGCGGTCCTCCTCATGGTTTTGATGAAATAGATGTTGTATGTTGTTTATAGGTTGAAATCGAACAAGAAAAGAAATGGGAAGCTTTGGAATTGTGAGCTGATGAGGCAGATATGTTTGTGGGTTTATAAAGGTGTGGGGGGGCTTGGGATTTGGACTTGTTTCTTGGAAGTAGGCATTGGAAGCAGTCTAATTGGAACGGCACGCCGAGAGAGAAGAAAAAATAATTAATTGTGACGTGTGGACTATATCAAAAAATTTAAATTCAAATGGGACATGTGAAAGGTTCAAAAGCATATAATATACACCAGAGTGGACCAAAATCGAAGTGTGACAAAAGCATACAATATAGTAATTGAAGGATGATTTATTGGTGATGGTGAAGTTGACCCTTCCGAAGTTGGGGGCTGACCCTTTTTTCTAGGGACCAATTAGCTGTTGCTCTAAAAATATTTATGTTTTCCATCATCACAAGTGATTTAAGTTCGAATTTTCTCACCTTCGTTAATAACAAAGAATAGAGCTTATTATTTGCGTATTTATCATTTAAAAGTCATTGAATGTGCAAATAAAGTAGAATAGTTAGTCGAGATCGGGGAACAACTTAACATGTGTAAGTCCATAAATAGTAAAATTCAATCACTGAAAGTTTGGATTTCAAGTTCCGATTTAAGTTCATGACCTGTCTTTTTATGCGAGTAATATTATTTTGTAAGTTAACTTATCGTTTTAAGTTTTAAAGGCAAAATTGGATTCCTTTTTGTAGGTATTTTGGCTCGAGTAGAATTCCTAGTGGTTTTATAATTTGAGATAGTATTGAAACTAACTTTAAGTAATAAGGAAATTTTAGTTGGGAATTAAGGCTGTTATCCCTTTCATATTTATTATCAATATACTTTAATGCAATAGTGGACGACTATGTTGACCAACTTTGCATCTAAATTGGGTTGATTGGTTCACCTGTCTCTATCGATTGGGACATTCATTATTCAATTTTCACACAGACAAGTTCTCACTTGGGTTGTTTTGACATTTAAGGTTCATCCGATTTAGTGCCGGCCATAGATATTCTACTAGCCTTACCTTATATTTAATTCTGACCCAAGGGCCACGAGCTACATGTTAATGATCAAAAATTCATATACGAAAAATCTAATGAAATAAATATTTATGAATCAAATTCATGGACTGGAAATTGACCAAGAATTTTGAGTGGTTTACTTGTCCATATCGATTGAGAAATTCATTATTCAATTCTCGCAGACATGTGTGTGCTCATTTGGGTGAGTTTGATAATTTTAGATTACTTTGTGGACCACAATTCTAATAGAGGTATGACTCATTATATCGGTGGACTCTACCTCTATTCAAGATGTGGTACACAAAATAATTTATAAATGTGGTCTCGGGCATTTATTGTGTTGTAACTTGTATAAGCAGAAGACTCTATCTCTTGAGGAATCTTGTGTTTATCATTCACATCAGCAATAGATATAAGCTGTATCTATATTGTATTTATCGTTTACTTGTAGAGATAATTATAGGATATTCATACTAGCAATTTGATTGTATATATACACAAATTATGAACCAAAAAAAATGATAAGGGGCAAACTTCGAAAAGCAAAGGCAAACTTCGAAAAGCAAACTCATTTGGTAAGTTGTCTTTGCATTTTTTTTTTTTTTTTCATTCCAGTCAGTTATTAACGCTGTCTCTGAGGGTTTTCGATTATGAAATATCTGTGAACTTTGCTGTTAATAGCAGAATAGATATTTGAAATTTTTTGCTTATTATCTGTGATGTGTTTGAATGTGTCAGGAGTAAAGAGAACCACCCAAGTCAAGTTCGAAATCGTAGATGGAGTTGGACATAATTAGCAACTTACCAAGTGATGTTATAGAACAAATTTTGTCACATTTGCCCATTAGAGATGCAGTGAGGACAAGTATTTTATCAAGAAACTGGAGATACAGATGGGCTACGATTCGTCATCTTGTGTTCGATAATCTGTGTGTCTCAACTCAAAAGCGTATAAGCTTTGTGAACATTGTTGATCATGTACTCCAAGGTCACATTGGCCCCATTCACAAGTTTGAGCTTTCTTATTTAGATGGTGTAGCCAGTCGGGATATTCCTATAGTGTTCCTTCTTATATGTTTTCCTGTAAATATATGATCCATTACCCTGTCCCAAGATGTGTTCCAGAATCTGATTGCTTGTTGTCCTCTACTTGAAAGTTTGGCTTTGGCAAAGCTCGATTTCGGCTGTCTTAAGATTGATGCACCAAATCTCCAATTCCTTGATGTTGGCGCTGGTTGAACCCGGTTAGGACGTGCCTCAATGCATTCAGAGATAATCTTCTTGACCAATGATTCATCAGTGAACTTTGGCAGCTAAGATAGATAAGAGGATTTGATTGAAGAAATGAATGCGGTTTTGGACTGTTCGGCACAAGTCTTTTTGGTTTATGCCTGCCTATGTTTCTAAACGAAGTATCATTACTTTCAATCATGTTTGTTGAGGCATATGTTGTTTAAATTTAAGTTGTTTGCCAATATTCATCCTTATTGAAACAAAGTTTGCAGGGAAGCACAAAGTCTCACAGGGAAAGATGAGTTACAAGGAATATGCTTCAGAAACTAATTGCTTTCCCAAACACTCTACTTTCCCCAACTTCTTATATTCATGTGGATCTCACCTCATGAGTAAAAGCTGCCAAAATAACTAGGAAAAATAGTTGGATTCTAAGCCTTTTTCAAACAACAAAAGCAAAAAATAGTTGGATTCTAAGATGTTCAAAATAATTGGGTTCAGTTAGAAAACATGATTTTTTTTTTTTTTTTAAAGTGATTTCTAATGCTAAGTCATTTATCTGAAAAATGTTTAATTAAACTCATGTCTTGGACGTTTTCATAAAATTTTCAAAAATCGATTGGCAATAAAGGGAAACGAATTAACAATGGAGTCCATTAAAGAGAAATGGTTTACATTTTTACATCCAAATCCAGAATCTAATCCTTTACTAGTTAGCTACACAAACCCACCATCTCAAAAGTGCTTGAAAGAAGAAGATAAACTAAAAAAATTACAAGAAAATATTCAAAATAAAAAACAAGGTGACAATCCCAAGTGGGGAAGACATCTCTCCCAATCCCAAGTACGATAAAGAAGGGAAAAGTTTAAATGCAAAAATTAATAAGCACGCCAAAATACATATTAGAGATATGTCGTAATTTTTTATATAAGAGAATTTTATTTGAGAAGAAGATTACATTCATAAGACAAAAAGGCTTACTAAGACCGGTACGAATACATTAGTCTCATTAAAACCTTCTTAGAAAAATCACACAGGACAAATTCAGGGTAGAAAAGAGTGTCATACATGTTATGGACTAATAAGAGATTCCAATTCAAAACCATAAAGAGATATTTAGTCATATACTCATTCTTAGCACTAAAACTATAAATAAACCATACACCATTTAATTTCTATAAACATACACACAAAAAACCCAAAAAAAGACAGCTGACTCTATTAAATTTAATTTTGATTATTAAATTACTTTAATGCCCTATTGAGTGTTTTAAGCTTTTTTATGAGTTTTAGATTGGGCTTGTTTAAGAAATTAATGACAGTTTTGTAATTTAAAAGAAGTTAATAGCCTTTTTATTATCTTGTAAATGGGTTTTGGGTATGTTTCTAAAATCCATTTCATATAGAGTTTTTTTTTATAATTTGGACACCTATATTTGGTATAATAGCACCAACAATAAAAGACCCTAACAAACAAGGAAAAGAAAACCCCAATTAGAATTTAGAGACCAACACAGTATACCCACATAAAGGACCGCAGAACATCCCAAGTGTCGAAAGAAGCCTGAGGTGGCGTACTGATGCTAAAGTCCTTTAGTTTTCTTTTTGAAAATTTACTCTAAAAATTATTTCCCCAAACAAATTGACATTAAAAACTATAAAATGAGTTTATTGTTTAAACTCTTATCCACCGTTGGATTTAATCCAAATGGCAGTTGCCCAAGAATCTCCTTGGTCCCCGTGTACCAGGAGAACGGCATGATAATATATGCACACGGCGCCGTTTCAAGCCTGTAGTAAGAGGCGGAATTTAGGTAGGCTAACACGCCGCCGTTTCAGCCTGTAGAGTAATGCGGTGTGGACGAGTCAGATTCTCCCAAATCAGATTTGAAGCCCCTCACTCTAACTACTAGCAAACCCTAATTGGCTCCTCTTGTTAATTCAAAATGTCTGAAATTCTTGACATTAGTTTCGTCGATGCGCTCCTCTACAAGTTAGCTTGATCAAAACGCAATTTTTTTTCGGCTCACTATCTCCATTTTTCTGGACCAAAGCTTACTGAATTTGGTAAGGTTTTTAATTTTATTTTTCCTAATTTCGTGCAATTTGCATTATTTTGCATTCTCTGTCAGTTGATATGGTTTAAACTTTCAAGTAAGCATTTTCTAATTTATTTTTTGGTAAATTTTCTAAATGATGAAGTACGGGAAGTTTTGCTTTGCTTGTGGATTGTTTTTTTGTTTTTGATCGATTTTGCTTGTGGATTGTGATAATATATATTTGAATTTTGTTGTTTCCCTCTCTGCACCACTGGCCATTGCATTAGATCAGTGATGTTTTCAACTACTTGAATATGTCAGGAGCAAAGAGAACCAACCAAGTCCCGTTCGAAATCGGAGATGGAGTTGGATAGAATTAGCAACTTACCAAGTGATGTTGTAGAACAAATTTTGTCACATTTGCCCAATAGAGAGGCAGTCAGGACAAGTGTTTTATCAAGCAACTGGAGATACAGATCGGCTATGCTTCCTCATCTTGTGTTTGATTATCAGAGTCTCTCAAGAATAAAACATGTACTTCTAGGTCACATTGGCCCCATTCACAAGTTTAAGCTTTCTCACTTTGGCTGTCTAGCCACTTGGGATATCGATCGATGGATTCTTCGTCTATCTAGAAACTCTATCAAAGAGCTCATACTTGTAATTTGGGAAGGGGGGCACTACAGAGTTCCTTCATATTTGTATCCGTTTAGAGTTATTTCGTTGTTTGCTAAAACCTCCGCCAACATTCAAAGGCTTCAGGAATTTGAAAATCCTTGTTATTGACCATGTTACCCTGGCCCGAGATGTATTCCACAATCTAATTGCTTGCTGTTCTCTGCTTGAAAAGTTGACTTTGTTAGGGTTCACTTTCACCCATCTCAAGATTGATGCACCAAATCTCCAATTCCTTCATGTCGAAGGTGATTTTGACGATGTTACTTTTGAGAATACCTTAAATCTGGTTGATGTTTGCATTTCTATGGACAATTATGTCGACCAAAGATGGGTTCGCAACAGTTCTAGCAATTTGGTCAAGTTTTTGGTTCACCTGCCTCATATTCAGAGGCTAAAAATTCAGGGATTCTTTTTACAGGTAACGGATTTTCTGGTGTCATACTTTCATTAAATGATCATTTACATGACCATGGAAATTTGAGCATGTTCATTGGGTCTGATGTTTTGTTGATGATATCTACTCTAGATTTTGGCAGTTGGTGCCTTGTCAGCAGAGCTTCCTAAGCCCTGTCTATGTCTGAATTTTCTTTCCATAAGCATAAACTTTAATGATCCGGGGGAGATTTTAACTGCTCTACGCCTTCTGAGAAGCTCCCCTGCCAAGAACTAGAAATTTCTGTGAGTTTCATTCTATTGATGCATGCAAATTTCTTCTGTTGAATTTAAAGCTTCAAACCAGTTCCATTCTAAAAATTGTAGTTTAGAAGCCGTTTTTAAGGAAGTGATCAAGATTCTGATGACTATATCTCTTGTGTAGGCCGACCCTTCTCTTCAAGAACGAGGATTTTCTGTGAGTTTTATTCTATTGATGCATGCAAATTTCTTCTGTTGAATTTAAAATGTCAAACCAACTCTACTCTGTTTAGAGAGAGTCTGATGCCTATATATCTTGTGTAGGCCGACCAAGAGGTTCAGGTTGATTTGTCAGAAATGAACTCTTTATATGGCAACTACATTTGCCCATTCACCCAACTGCGACTTGTCAAAATATCAGACTTCTCTGATGTCAAAACTGAATTAGATTTCATCAGATTTCTGCTTTTAAATTCTCCTGTGCTTGAGAAGATGATTGTTAAGCCTGCTTTTGCCGATGGTTCTTTGGAGCTCCTTAAACAGTTGCTCCGGTTAGGTCGTGCCTCAGTGCATTCGGAGATAATCTTCTTGGACCCTGATTTGGACTTTGGCATCTAAGATGAGAGGACTTGCTTGAAGGAATGAATGTGGTTTTGGACTGCTGGGCACGTCTGCCTATGTTTCTCATACTTGCAAATTATCTTTGTGGAGGCATATGCTAAGTTAAGTCTCTTGGGGATTATTAGTTAGGTTAGATTGATATGAGCTCGTTTGCCAATTTACAACAACAAAGTCCCACAAATTTCCTGTAACAGTGAAAATACTAGGAATATGTTTTCCCAAACACTTTCCTCAGCTTCGTATATGTATGGGTTTTATCCACTATATCCCGGATCTCACCTCATGTGTGTAAGAGTTTGCAAAATAATTAGGAAATTTAGTTGAATTCTAAAGCCTTTTTCAAAAGTCAAACAAAGCATACATCTAGGAGGTACAAAATAATTGGGTTCAACTATAAAGCAAGAATTTTTTTTCTTTTTTACATCCAAATCCAGAAATAATTCTTCACTAGCTATATTAATCCACCATCTCAACAAGAATGCTCAACTCAAATTCGATCTGTTTAATAAACGTGTCATGTTGGATTGACCCACTAATTTTTTGTGTGGATTTCAAGTCGTGTATCGGGTTGACCTGCTAAGTTGTAGCAACTAGTAACTAGCGAGCTAAAAATGTAGACCAAAAAGAAAAAGTAGAGAAACAAATGACTATTCAAAGAATTTTTTCATGATCACAATGATGTGAGAATTGGTTATGATACGCAAAGCTAAAGACAAATTTTTGAGAACTAGAGGATGCCATGGAAGAAAGAGGGGAGAGGAGATTCACGTTGGTGGGAACTAAAACCCACCTAAAAGGACCAATACACCCCTCAATTTGACGAAAAGAAGTAACATAAGTTAATCCATGACCTTTGCTGCAAACAAAAGTGAAGTTAAGGGACCGTGGAGGCCATTTTGAAAGTTGCTGCACTAAAGCTAAAGTCAATATAAAGTTCAGGGACCATAGCTCCTAAAAAGCCCAAAGTAAATCAATCCAATTCTAATGCAATCAACTTTGTTGTTTGACAAACTAACTAACTATTATTTTAATGATAGTTCAACATAAGACTACTAGTTTGCAAGTCAAAATCCTTTTTCACTAAGCTAGATTTTGTTGGCTGTGTATTTGACGTTTACAAGTCATAAAATAGAGGGCTTTGACTATTTTGAAACAAAAGTCGTGAAGAATGACTATTTTAACTAATTTCTCAAATAGATATAAATTACACTATTAGTAATTCATGCATGTACACGACTAACATGGCATCTAAATTGTTTTGATTAGGGAAACAATACCTGGACTAGAAACGACAAAGAATTGATCAGTTGTTTACTTGTCTCTACCGGCCATAGATACTTCTTCTAGTCTTATCTTCAATATGATAAATTAAAGAGTAAATTCTCCTACACCTCCTCGAATTAGGACCCTAATGGAATTATCTTCAATATGGTAAATTTAGCACTTGAATTCATTTAAATGGTCAATTTCACACATGCCGTCAGATTGTAGCGGATTTCATCCGAAGTTGACTTATATTCGCACGTGAGGCTCATGTGAAACAGAATAGGAGGGCAATATAGTCCTTGACCCCTTTCCCTCCCAATCCTCACTCATCTTCCCTGATTGCTTGGCGCGAAAATGAAAACACAGCAGCCCTATTTAACACAATCGAAGAACCACAAACAATCTAAAAGACAAATCCAACCCATGTGGGTATACAAGAGCTTGAGTTTTGAGGAAGACAAAATGGGCAAGAGAGAGAGAGGAAGAGAAAAAGTACCTGAGCTGGCGGTCGTATTTGGTATTAGGTTCAGCCATTGATACCTTTTATTTTCTCTCTGTAACCACACAAGCCATTGATGCTTGGTTTTGGACTATTACCAACAGATTCACACATGAAAATTCATTGCCCCACCATCGCCACTTTGTTCAGTCACAATCGATCACTCCAATGACAAAATTAATTGGGGTTAAAATGGTTTGATGGTTAAAACAGCGTGAAGGTAGGCGGGTTCTGGCGCCATTGCTCTGTGGCTTGACATGCATGACATCAGAGATGTTTGACAGGACGACGCCGTTTGGGCAGTTTGGACGACACCACATTTGAAATTGAAACCCCAATTGGCTCTCTCACTCTCTGATCCCAAGCAGCAAACCCTAATTCGCTCCTTTGGTGGGTGGATGCGCTCCTCTTATCTCCGTTTCTCTGGACCAAAGCGAAGTGAATATGGTAAGGTTCTTTTTCGCCCTAATTTCGTGCAATTTTCATTCCCAGTCAATTGATAAGGTTTCAACTGAGGCACTTTCTAAATGATGTTTTGGTCAATTTTCTAACTGATAAAGTGTGTGAAGATTTTTTTTATTATTATAAAGAATGTGTTTTTCTCATTGTTAAGTGGAGGGAATTGGGCAAAACCTCCTCTTCTTTCAAGTCCTTAATATTCACATCACAACAACAACTCATTTGCCTCTGGGAAATTGTACGACTTCTCTACTTCTGGCTAAACTCCACTTGTCTCTGCCCCTGACATGAAGATAGTAGATCTATTTATTGTGTTGGTTATGGAAAGTAGAGATTTTTTCACATGCTAATCTTCCTTTATGGTAGTGAGCTAGACCCACCACAATGTTCCAAGTTCCAACTGAAATGGAACTCTACCGTACTAAACTAAGAAAGCTCACAAATTTGTAGTTTGTGTAATAACCATATACTGCGACTTGTTACGTATCTCCATGTGAAATGTGGTTACAATTCCTTAGTTGTGAACTTTGTGACAATAGATATTTGAACTTTGTTGCTTGCTATTGATTTGCTCTCTCTACTCCACTATCCATTGCATTAGATCAGTGATGTTTTCAACTACTTGAATATGTCAGAAGCAAAGAAAACCACCCAAGTCCCGTTTGAAATTGGAGATGGAGGTGGACAGATTTAGCAACTTACCAAGTGATGTTATAGAAATTTTTTTGTCATGTTTGCCCATTAGAGAGGCAGTGAGGACAAGTGTTTTATCAACCAAGTGGAGATACAGATCGGCTATGCTTCCTCATCTTGTGTTTGATGATCAGTGTGTCTCAATACGAGAGAATATAACCTTTGTGAACATTGTTGATCATGTACTCCTAGGTCACATTGGCCCCATTCACAAGTTTGAGCTTTCTGGTGGAGATTGTCTAGACAATTGGGATATTGATCGATGGATTCTTCATCTGTCAAGAAACTCTATCAAAGAATTCATATTTAAAAATTGGGGAACTTGCCCCTACAGAATTCCTTCATATTTGTTTTCTTGTCAAGATATGATTCATTTAGAGTTACTTATATGTGTGCTAAAACCTCCATCAACATTCAAAGGCTTCAGGAATTTGAAAAACCGTCTTCTTAAGGGTGTTACCCTGGACCAAGATGTGCTCCAAAATCTAATTGCTTGCTGTCCTCTGCTTGAAAAGTTGACTTTGTCAATTCCCACTTTCACCCATCTCAAGATTGATGCACCAAATCTCCAATTCCTTGACGTTGAAGGTGATTTTGAGGATGTTACTTTTGAGAATACCTTAAATCTGGTTGATGTTCGCATTTGTATCTACCCTCACGGAAGAACATGGGTTTGTGAAAATAGCAATTTGGTCAAGTTTTTGGTTCAGCTGCCTCTTGTCCAGAGGCTAAAGATTGGGAGATATTTTTTGCAGGTAACAGATTTTCTGGTGTCATACTTTTATTAAATAATCATTTACATGACCGTGAAAATATGAGCATGTTCATTAGGTCTGATGTTTTCTTGATGATTTCTGGTCTAGATTTTGGTTGTTGGCTCCTTGTCACCAATGCTTCCTAAACCATGCCTATATTTGAAATTTCTTTCCGTAATGGTAAACTTTAATGATCCGGCGGAGGTTTTAACTGTCCTATGCCTCCTGAGAAGCTCCCCTGCTGTCCAAGAACTATAAATTTCTGTGAGTTTTATTCTATTGATGCGTGCAAATATCTTCTATTGAATTTAAAATGTCAATCCAATTCTACTCTGAAAATTGTAGTTGAGAGAGCTATTTTACGGTAGGTGATCAACATTCTGATGCCCATATATCTTGTGTAGGTATACCCTGCTCTCGAAGAAGAACAAGATTTTTATGTGAGTTTTATTCTATTAATGCATGTAAATTTCTTTTATTGAATTTCAAATGTCAAACCAACTCTACTCTGTTTAGAGAGATTCTGATGCATATATATCTTGTGTAGGCCCACCAAGAGGTTCAGGCTGCTTTGTCAGAAGTGAACTCTTTATATGGCAACTGTATTTTCCCATTCACCCAACTGCGACTTGTCAAAATATCCTACATCTTTGATCTCAAAACTGAATTAGATTTCATCAGATTTCTGCTTTTAAATTCTCCTGTGCTCGAGAAGATGATTGTTACACCTGATGATGCCAGTGATTCTCTGGAGCTCATTAAACAGTTTCTCCGGTTAGGGCGTGCCTCAGTGCATTCAGAGATAATCTTCTTGGACCCAGATTCATGAGGGAACTTTAGCAGCTAAGACAGGAGGACTTGCTTGAAGAAATGAATGTGGTTTTGGACTGTTGGGAACAAGTCTTTTTGTTATATGCCTGCCTCTTTTCTTAACTGGTTGTCTCATACTTGCAATTCTCTTTGTGGAGGCATATGGTGTTTAAAGTTAATTCGCTTGGGGATTAGGAATTAGATATATCTGAGTTCATTTGACAATTTACATCCTTATTGAAACAAAGTTTGCAGGGCAGAACAATGTCTCACATGGAAAGAATTAATTAAAGCAAACTTATTGTAACAGTGAAAATACAAGGAGTATATGCTTCGGAAACTAATTGCTTTCCCAAACACTTTCCTCAACTTATATTATATCCATTGGTTTGCATTTTTACGTCCGCATCTAGAAATAATCTCTCATTCACTATACAAACCCATCATCTCAAAAGAGCTTGAAAGAAGATGACGAACTAAAAAATTATTACAAAGAAATTCTTCAAATGTTAGAGTTACTTTGAAGCGGAAAATAATGTAAAACTGCAACTTGTTATGTATCCCCCTGTGAAAATGAAATGTGGTAACAATTCCTTCAGTTGGGAGAATAGATGTTTGAACTTTGTTGCTTACTATCTCTTCCCCCTCTCTATACCACTGGCCAATGCATTAGATCCGTGATGTTTTCAACTACTTGAATTTTTCAGGGGCAAAGAGAACGACCTAAATCCCGTTTAAAATTGGAGATGGAGTTGGACAGAATTAGCAACTTACCAAGTGATGTTATAGCAAAACTTTTGTCACATTTGTGGGTTAGAGAGGCAGTGAGGACAAGTGTTTTATCAAGCAAGTGGAGATACAGATCGGCTATGCTTCCTCATCTTGTGTTTGATGATCAGTGTGTCTCATCACTAGAGCATATAAGCTTTGTGAACATTGTTGACCATGTTCTCCTAGTTCACATTGCCCCAATTCACAAGTTTAAGCTTTCTTCTCTAGGTTGTCTGCCACTTGGGATATTGATCGATGGATTCTTCGTCTATCAAGAAACTCTATCAAAGAGTTCATACTTGAGATTCGGCAAGGGTTCAACTATAAAATTCCTTCATGTTTGTTTTCTTGTCAACATATGATGCATTTAGAGTTAATTATTGCATGTGGGAAAATAGGAGAAGTGAGTTGGAATAGCAGCACTCAAAATAAATCATGTGTAAATTATTGCATGTACTCCTTTAGCAAATGACTGTCTGACACGTGGGCTACTGTTGACAAGAAGCTAAAAGTCCTGTTATTATTATTTTCATTTCCGTTGGTACCCTTAAGCAATTTGGATAACACCGAAGGAAAGACCAAAAGACATGTTTCTTTTTCTCTCATCAAAAGCACACGACAGAGAGAGTAGCCATTTTACTAGTACCAGAAATGAAGGTGGGAGGAGGGATTGACCCCAAAAAAATGTAGAGGAAAACTCCAGAAACCATTCTACTAATTTCCGTCATCAAGAATTCTATAGTGAGAGCATTATATATGGCCCTTAGGTGATATCTTATTTTTTAGTCATTAGAACAAATTGATTAATTAGTTAGCTTGATTTAACGATAAACAGATAAAACCTCGGCTAGCTTCATGTGGAAACTAGGCTCATCTCCATATGGAAAAATTACAGAGACCCATTTGCAAGAGCTCTGCCAAGAATCAAATTAAGCCCATATAGCAAATTAGGCCCATCTCTTCTACCAAAATTCTCAGACGAGATGTGTCGGTTTGTTTTCTTTCTTATTGGGCTATATTGGGTTCAGAAGATAAGGGTACAATAGGAAATTAAAATAAGAGCCGAAGGTTTTTAGCTTCTTGAAAACGCTGTCGTTAGTAATTGACGCACGAGTACAAATTCCAACCATGTTGAGGCTAAACTCAAATTTTTACCCTTTAAAATACAACTATTCATGTATTTTTAGGACTCAAATTGTTTTTACCTCCAACCTTGTAGACTCATAATTTGAGTCTACTACTTTATCTAAATTGTTTAAAAATAGTTAGCCTTCAATTTTTTTTTGCCATTAATTTTTCTTGATATTATTTTTATTTCAACATTCGTGATTTAATTTTCTAAACATTTTAACCTAAAAAAATCCAAAATTCAAAACATAAATTTTTTTTTTACTCCAAACAGAGCAACTTTAAGTTGCAAGTTTAATAAATAAAAAAAATGAAAGAAACAATAACTACAAATGGTGAGCTGCCACTTGTCATGCAAAAGCAAAGGGAGAGCTGCAACTTTCTTCCGCGTAGGGCCCACTCCATTTTTCCTCTTCATATGGGCTGTGCAGCATGAGTTGGGGTCCACAAAAAATTTCCAGTCCAGGCAAAATCCAGACTGGAATTCCACCCAAAATTCCACCCATCTCAAATTTCCACCCTTGAAAATACATGGGTTGGAGATGAATTTTGGACTCAAAACTCAAAATTTGAGTTTTCACCTATTGGGTTGGAGATGGTCTTACAAAATAATATGCACACAGAATGAGGCGGGAATGATTATGAAGACGCCGTTTGGACCTAGATTAGTACTAGTAATTTGTGACGAGTCATATTCTCAAAACTCAGGCCTTCATTGCTATTTCCAACTTCACCAGATTTCAAACCCAATTGGTTCTCTCTCTCTCATTCTCTCACTCCATACCGAAACCCTAATTGCCTCCTTTGGTTTTGGATTCGCTCCTAAACCAAAGCTAAGTGATGGTAAGGCTCTTTTTCTCCCCTAATTTCGTGTAATCTGCATTATTTTTCATTCCCGGTCAATTGATAAGGTTTCAACTGAGGGATTTTGTGTAGGGTGACCGTGGTATCGGAGTACTAGTATGGCCTGTGAGTTTTATTTTATTGATGCATGCAAATTTCTTCCGTTGAATTTAAAATGTCAAACCAACTCTACTCTGAAAATTGTAGTTCAGATTGATTCTGATGCCTATATCTTGTGTAGGCCGACCAAGAGAGTCAGGCTGCTTGGTCTGAAGTGAAATCTTTATATGGCAACCGGGTTTTCCCACTCACCCAACTGCGGCTTGTTAAAATATCCTACATCTATGACTGCAAACCTGAATTAGATTTCATCAGGTTTCTGCTTTTAAATTCTCCTGTGCTTGAGAAGATGATTGTTAAGCCTTCTTCTCCCGATGATTCTTGGGAGCTCGGTGCACAGTTGCTCCGGTTAGGGCGTGCCTCAGTGCATTCAGAGATAATCTACTTGGACCCATGATTCATCAGTGAACTTTGGCAGCTAAGACAAGAGGACTTGAAGAAAATGAATGTGGGTTGGGACTGTTGGGCACAAATCTTTATATTGTATGTCTGCCTATGTTTCTGAACGATGTTATGTTTCATATCGCAATCATCTTTGTGAAGGCATATGTTGTTTAAATTTAAGTCGTTTGGGGATTATGAATTAGATTTATTTGAGCTCGTTTGCCAATTTAATCATTTTTGAAACAAGTTTGCAGGGCAGAACAAAGTCTCACACGGAAAGAACGAATTAAAACAAACTCTTATAGCACTGAACAAATAGAGAGTGCTTTAGAAACTAATTGCCCATTCGTCCATGATTTCATCAGATTTGCGCTTCTAGGATAGTGCCTTGGATCAAGAGGAGATATTCCACTTGGAGCCATGATTCATCAATGAATTTGGGTAGCTAAGGTTAGAGGATTTGCTTGCAGAGATGAGCATGGTAAGACGGTTACAAGTCTTTGTGATGAATGTCATGTTGTCATCCAAATCCAGAATGTTTTGTTTAGTACAAGCGAAAGTCTAACTACATGAGAGGGGTTTTCTACTGTGCTACACCATATTGGTCAAATCCAAAATTAATCCTTCATTAGCTATCATAAGAGGTTGAAAGAAGATGATGAACTAAAATACTTCAAGAAATTCTTCAAATTTTGGAGTCGAATTTGAGGATGGATTATTATTATTACTTTTTATTTTTAAAAAGAATAAAATGACCTTCCATTCTTTCTCTGGTAATGATCACAGTTTGACACATATTATGAAATAATTCAGCCAAATTATAAAAAATAAAAAATTATATATATATATATGTGTGTGTGTGTGTCAAATTGTGATTCACATACAAGTAAGAATGACAACTTTAAAATTTCCCTTGACAACATCTTAATTGCTCATGAATTATGTAAATCCTTGCCCTAAACTCCAATCTTTTGGTAGGATTTATAATCCTACTACATTTGGTCCTAGTAGGATTAGACATAATCCAATAAATGTTGTTTTTAAGACACCAAAAATTTTAGCTAGGATTTTGAATTCAAAAATCCTGCTACACGTTGATGTTCAAAAATTGATATACCAAAAATCTAGTAAAATGAATATTTATGACAAGGGAACTTCAGGCAAAATGAAATAGAAGGTTTTTATATGTCCATGATAATATGCACATTATAAAAGGGCGGGAATGAAATGAAGATACGCTATACGGCGCCGTTTCAGCCAGTAGTAAGTAAGCAATGCCGTGTGTGACGAGTCAAATTCTCACAATTCGGATTTGAAGCCCAAATTGGTTCTCTTTCGCTCTCCAATCCCCAGCAAACCCTAATTGGCTCCTCTTCAGAAAAAGGCAAACTTTTTGGCACACCATCTCCATTTTTCTGGACCAAAGCGAAGTGAATATGGTAAGGGTTTGTATTTTTTATTTCCTAATTTCGTGCAATTTACATTCTTTTGCATTCTCAGTCAATTGATAAGGTTTCAAGTAAGGCATTTTCTAATTGATTTTTGGGTCAATTTTATAATTGATAACGTAAGTGAAGTTTTTGCTTTGCTTATGAATTGTGTTTTTCTCGTTGTTAAGTGGAAACTCACACCTTTTCAGTTTCAACTGCGAGTATTGACACTTGCATTTTTGTAGTAAAAAAGAATCTAAAACTGCAAATTGTTACAATTCTTTAGTTGTGAGAATAGGTATTTGAACTTTGTTGCTTACCATTGGCCATTGCATTAGATTAGTGATGTTTTCAACTACTTGAATATGTCAGGAGCAAAGAGAACCACCCAAGTCCCGTTCGAAATCGGAGTCGGAGTTGGATAGAATTAGCAACTTACCAAGTGATGTTCTAGAACAAATTTTGTCACATTTGCCCATTAGAGAGGTGGCAAGGACAAGTGTTTTATCAAGCAAGTGGAGATACAGAACGGCTATGATTCGACATCTTGTGTTTGATAAACAGTGTGTCTCAACTAAAAAACGTATAACCTTTGTGGACATTGTTGATCATGTACTCCTAGGTCACATTGGCCCCATTCATAAGTTTAAGCTTTCTCATCTAGATCGCCTAGCCACTTGGGATATTGATCGATGGATTCTTCATCTATCAAGAAACTCTATCAAAGAGTTCGTACTTGAAATTGAGGAAGTTTGCTGCTACAGTATTCCTTCATATTTGTTTTCTTGTGAAGATATGATACATTTAGAGTTATTCAGTTGTCTGATAAAACCTCCGCCAACATTCAAAGGCTTCAGGAATTTGAAAAGCCTTGTTTTTCAGCGTGTTACCTTGGCCCAAGATGCCTTCCAAAATCTGATAGCTTGCTGTCCTCTGCTTGAAAGGTTGACTTTGAGAGAGTTCAATTTCACCCATCTCAAGATTGATGCACCAAATCTCAAATTCCTTGATGTTGAAGGTGATTTTGAGGATGTTATTTTTCAGAATACCTTAAATCTTGCTGATGTTTGCATTTGTACGGACACCAGTGTTGGCCAAAGATGGGCTTGTGACAGTACTCACAGCATGTTGGTCAAGTTTTTGGTTCACCTGCCTCATATTCAGAGGCTAAAAATTCAGGGATTCTTTTTACAGGTAACGGATTTTCTGGTTTCATACTTTCATTAAATGATCATTTACATGACCTTGGAAATTGGAGCATGTTCATGGAGTCTGAAGTTTTCTTGATGATTTCTGCTCTAGATTTTGGCTCTTGGTGCCTTGTCAGCAGAACTTCCAAAACCATGTCTATATCTGAACTTTCTTTCTATAAGCGTAAACTTTAATGATCTGAGGGAGATTTTAACTGCTCTATGCCTTCTGAGAAGTACCCCTGCTGTCCGAGAACTAGAAATTTCTGTGAGTTTTATTCTATGATGCATGAAAATTTCTACTGTTTAATTTAAAGCTTCAAACCAATTCTATTCTAAAAATTGTAGTTTAGAGAGCTGTTTTTCAGTAGGTGATCAATATTCTGATGCCCATATATCTTGTGTAGGCCGCCGGATCAGCTTTCCAAGAAATTTCTGTGAGTTTTATTCTATTGATGCATGCAAATTTCTTCTGTTGAATTTAAGATGTCAAACCAACTCTACTCTGTTTCGAGAATTTCTGATGCCTATATATCTTGTGTAGGCTGACAGAGAGGGTCATTCTGCTTTGTCAGAAGTGAACTCTTTATATGGCAACTGGATTTTCCCATTCTCCCAACTACGATTTGTCAAAATGTCCGACGTCTCTGATGTCAAAGCTGAATTAGATTTCATCAGATTTCTGCTTTTAAATTCCCCTGTGCTTGAGAAGATTATTGTTAAGCCTGCTTATGCCGATGATTCTTGGGAGCTCGTTAAACAGTTGCTCCGATTAGGGCGTGCCTCAGTGCATTCAGAGATAATATTCTTGGACCCATGATTCGTCCGTGAACTTTTGCAGCTAAGAAGAGGACTTGCTTGAAGAGATGACTCTGGGTTTGGACTGTTGGGCACAAGTCTTTGTGGTGTGTGTTTAAATTTAAGTCGGTTGGCACTTTACATGAGCTCGTTTGCCGCTTAACATTCTTGTTGAAACAAAGTTTGCAGGGCATAACAAGGTCTCACAGGTAAAGAATGAATTAAAGTAACAAGGCATCTGAAGTGGGTCTACTTCTACTCTATGCGGAGACGAGGAGAATACCTATCACACATGTTGTATGGGCAAGGGGAATTGCTTGCAGAGATGAACATGGATCAAGGCAGTTGGCTTCAACTTACAAGTCTTTGTGACAAATGCCATGTCGTCGTTTATCTGAAAAAACAATGTTTAATTAAAGTCATGTCTTGGACGCTTTCGTAAAATTTCCAACAATCGATTGGCAATGTAGTCCATAGAGAGAAATGGAATACTTTTTTACACCCAAATCCAGAAATTAATCCTTCACTAGCTATACAAACACTGTCTTAAAAGAGCTGGAAACAAGACGATGAACTAAGAAGTTACAATGGTATGGCTAATTACGACTAAAGTCAACCTTTTACTTGCAGCAAATTATATATATATTTTAATATTCAGTCAAATTGGTAACGTTGTCGCAGAGGGTTTTTGTTTGATGAAATATCTGTGAAATTTGCTGTGCTTGTGGATTTGGGTGGTTCTCATGGTGGATTGAAATTAGGGAAATGTCAATCCTTTCTAGTTCTTATTTTACTTGAACCAACGTTTATTTTTCTTGAGTTTTTAATCTACCCTCCTCTGCCCCCAACCTGATATATCTGTGAGTATTTTGGCTTGGATCTTAGTGGTAAAAACAAAACATAAAAGTGCTTTATTTTTAAGTGACTGAAATTTGGATATTACTTTTGAATGATCTTGGCAGCAGTGGCCATTGTATTAGATTAATGACTTTTGTTTACCATGTGAAAATTTTAGAAGCAGAGGAACCCCTCCTCTGTCCCCAACCTGATATACTGTGAGTATTTTGGCTTGGAAGTGCTTTTTTATTTATTTATTAAATTTAAATTGTAAAAACAAAACGTGGAAGTGCTTTTTTTGTACGTGACTGAATGAAATTTGGATATTTCTTTTGAAAGTGAAAATTTAAACTTTGTTTGCGCTGGCCAAGACATAGATTAATCACTTTTGTTTACTATGTGAAGCAAAGGAATCCCTCCAAGTTATATGTTCAGAGAGAAATATGGAGGAGTTGGATAGAATTAGCAAATTTTGTCACGTTTACCTATTAAGAAGGCTAGTGTCTTTTCAAGCAAGTGGAGGTTCATGTCTGCTATGCTTCCACATCTTGTCTGATCATGGGAATTGGAGACTTTTCATCGAGTCTGCTGCTTTTTGCATCCATTCTGCTCCAGTATTTGGCTGTTGGTGCCTTGCCTGGAAAGCTGCCCAACCCTTGTCTATATCTGAGTTTTCTTTCTATAAACATTTCCATCGGTTTTCCATGTGAAGTTTTAGCTGCTCAATGCCTTCTGAGAACCTCCCCTGCTCTACAAGAACTGCTCTCAAGTTCACCATTGCTTGAGAGATTGACTATTAAGCCAGCTGCTTCTGTCGTGGATTCTTCGGAACTCTTAAAAAGGTTGATCCGGTTTAGGCGTGCCTCGGTGCTTTCAGAGATAGTCTATTTGGGACCATGATTCATCAATGAATTTCGGCAGGGCTGAAATATATTTTTGGGCGGGTCTTCTTTTTTCCTTTTTTTTTTCCCTGATGCATGTGTGTTTGTTCTTCTGAACAGTGTCCCATACTGGCAGTACCCTTTGTTGAGACAGGTTTTGGCCTTTTTGCATCAAAACTTTTTCACTCTCTCTTGTGCTTTCTTGGCTAAGAAAACGTTCTTACCCTCTTCGTTGGCTCAAAACACATAACTTATCCACTCTGTGTGATAATACTATTAACAAAACTCATCATTGAATTGGTGTCACTACCTGCTACCACCACCTCCGCCGCTGCCCGTCATCACCATACTCACACCCCATTACCTCCTTAGCATCAGTAGCCTCACCATACACATCTATCAACTACCATCACTTATTTATAAGTTGTTTAGGTTTTTAGTTCTAATGGTCCCTAAATTTTGATAAGATTCTCATTTTGGATCCCTCAATTTTTAAAATCGTTCCCATGGTCTTTCAACTTCAGTTTCATTAGAACAAATGGTCCTACCATCAATTTTGTTATCTATTTCGTTAAATGTATGGATAAAATGGTAGTTTTATTAAAATTTCCACCATTTGAATATTCTATTCACCCAAAACAAATAAAACTAAAAAAGATTCTCCTATCCTTGCCACAAAAAGCCACAACCTCTCCAACCCAACCCAACCCCACCTAAACACACAACCCACAACAACAACCAAGCCTTCTTCACCCTCACCATCTCACCCAGTCTCAACCCCTCTTTCACCAGGATGAAATATTCAATTTTGTTTTTTCAATTTTTTTCATCAACAATCGAGGATATGATATTAGACTAGGGGCAGAAGCCATCGCAGGGAGGGTGGTTATGGGGGTTTGGGTGGGGGTGTGGTTTGTGGGAGCATCATTAGTTGTTGCCGAGGTGGTGAAATAATTGGCTTGGTATCAGATGGAGGTTGTCCATGGCTTTGTTAGGATTGGAGGAAGGAAGATATATCATTCCTCGACTGGGGGTGGGTTTTAATGGGCTTGGCTTGGGGAGAGTATCGGCTCGGTATCACATTTTTATCCCATATTTCTATACCACATGATGGTATGAGAATGTGGTAAGAGTAGCATTATTTAGGGAGATATATAGATGGGGAGAGTTACAGCAGTGGGGGAGTGGGTGTGGGATTTGGGTGCGCCACATGTACCCCAAGAGTGAAGCAATTTCCGATTTCAACTCTTAACAGTACACCGTGTATCATGCACATGCTCAAATTTAACAGAAAAAAATTAACAAAAGACGATATGACAATTTGTCTTAACAAAACTGAAGTTGAAGAACTACGGGAATAATTTTGGAAATTGAGGGACCAAAATACGAATCATGTTAAAAATCAGGGACCTAAAAACCCTTGTTGTATTTATAGTGATAAACCTTAAATTCCATATTTAAATTTCATTGTACTTTTAAATTAGACAACCAAGATGATGATTATACTATCCCGCATATAGAAATAACACCACGCCAGGCCATATTGTTATTATCTAATGATATTATTTTGAAGCAGAATTCCTATGACTTTGACATATAAACAAATAATTGATCAGAAGTCATTATATGTTGCTTTAACTTAATGATACATGTGATTTTGTAGGGGCTCATAACAAAATTCATTTGTCGGCCGGTCTAATAAGTTAATACGGTTTGACTTTGTGTCGCCATGGAAAAGGCTGCTCTTCTCTCTTTTCTAATGATAACCCCAAATCAATACTGGGAAAGGTTGCATTCTCTGCTCTCCTTAATTACTGGGAAGCTTGAATCCCCATGTTGAACTTTCCCTTTCTTTTTTTCTTTTTTTATTTTATTTGTTTTGTTTTGTTAAAACTATATTGAAATTTTTAAAAATGTTTGAAAATGTTAGGTAGCTTCAGTGTTGGCCAAGGTAAACATTGTTAAGAGCAAAGCAAGATTTATGATCTCTTCTCGTTTTGAAGAATTTTTATTTATTCCATGTCGACAACAACCTTCCAAATCGATTTTTCAGTGAAGCAAACTTCTCACGTGTGATTTTGTTGGATTTTTCTTTGTCTTTTTTATGTTGTTGATGAAATAAGAGGAACAAACCCTAAAAAGAAACAACAACTAACTAGTATAGATCAAGCGAGACCTAACAACTCCTAAAAAACCATCCTCCAAAAAAGAGCTAATTAACCTAAGCAAGGGCCTCATCCAAATAGCTAACCCCCAAATCCAAGTTAAAGCTCCAATTAGCCATACGATCAGCTACAACATTCTCGATTTTTTAGTGAAGCAAACTTCTCAGAGCATCCACAGTGGAGGGGGTAAATTCGGGAGTGTAAAGTCACTTTTACATCCCCTTTACATTTACAGGGGGTGTAAATATGTTTTTTGCTCCAGTGGAGGAGTGTAAATTCGGGAGTGTAGTCATGGATCCTAGCCTTTTATGTTGACTTTTCTTCATTTTTCTTCATTTTTCTCGGGTGGGTCCCACCAACAAGGGATGTAAAAATAGATGTAAATATACATTTTATTTTACATCCCCATGGTGGTGATGTATATTTAGATCCATTTACATCTCCCCAATGGATACGATTCCGGTGACTCGGGGTGTATATTTAACATACACCCCCCCAAAGTGAATGCTCTCACCTGTGATTTTGTTGGGTTTTTCTTTGTCTTCTTTCAACTACATGGTTTTCCTCATAGATCCACTCAATGGGGTTAGAGAATTATTTAGGGAAGAGTGGGCACAGTCCAATTTGTTTCGGTTTTTTCTCGAAACAGAAAACAACACTAAAAAATCTCTTTGGTTTGGTTCGATTTGGTTTTGACAAAAAATGGCCAGTAATATGTATTCATTATATTTTGAAGGCAAGAGAAGAGGATTAATTAGGATATATTGACCTAATACATGGTACAAAATCCAAACCAAGCTTAAGTAATGGAAATATTATTCACTCCTCCCTTTTCTTTTGAAGTCTTGCCATAATTTTCTTTTCTTTTTTTGCGTTTTTCCTTGTTTGGATTCATTTCAACTCACATTCTCTTTCACGCTCGAGCTGAAAGCTTAAAGTACAAATGAACTCAGACATTAGCATTACTGAAAAACAACCATGTTTCTAGTTTTAATCCACTTTCACAAAACATTACACATACAAAATAAATGATGTAAAAGTTCTTACACCCCATAAAAGAAGAAACCTAGAAAAAGGATTGTTCATTGTTTCTTTGAAGGCAATATTCCGAAGCGGTTACAAAGCTTGACCCAAAACACAGAATCGGCAGCCAAATGAAAAACAACAGAAGAGAAAATGAAGAAAGCAGAGAGAAACCCTTTTCATCCATCAGCCTACCTTGCTAGCTATGCCATTAGAGATTTACATAAATACATGGGCAGACAGAAAATGTATATAAATTTGTCAAGGAATGGGACGCTTGCCAGGACGATCGGCAGCCTTGAGGGTTTTGTCGATGAGCTTGCGAGCCTTTTTGCTGCGGATCTCTACCTTCACACTTGAGCTCTTGTCCATCTTTATGTATGGCTTCTTTGAGTTTTTCTTCAGGGCTCGTACTTTTGACTTTATCGACTCCACCAGATTCTCCAACTGGTTCGTCATCTGAATTATAACCCTTATTTATGATTAATAGTTAATTCTAGTGCTCTTTTGATAATGAGTGAGAGATCCCAATGGAGATCTAGAGAAGAAGAGAAGATCTTGTTGTTGGCTTGGAAATTGGAGTTGGATGCGTTTTGTGCTCTTGGGTTTTACTGGTGTTTGCGTTCTGGTACACAACTATAGGTTTATATTGAGTCAAGTTTGGTGGGATTGAGAAGGTCTTGGTTTTAGAGATAATCACCAATTTGCCATTCTTGATTTCTGTTTTTCTTTATTTGTCTCAATGCGGGGGAATAGAAAATTCAAACTTGAAACCAATTTCCTTGAGGCGTACCCCATTTTGGAATTCGTAATTCAACAACATTTTTCTCTCTTCTTTTCTTCACTTTTGTCAACCGAAACAACGTACACTTTGTTCAACTTCAATACAATTTCCATCCTGTCTTTTGTGTATCATACCCGGTTTTCTAAAATTGAATTCAAGTCTGAAATGAAGAAAAAAAAAAATACAATAAGACAAAGTAGCATTTTTTTAATTTTAATTTTATACTTCCTCATTTTCAATGCGTGACATAGTTTGAAACTTATTCTATTTGTTATAATATATATATATATAAGTCAAAGATTATGAACTGAGACACATATGAGAAGTAAAATAAAATAAATAAATATATATATTTCAAAATACCCTCATTTGCCATGATTTGATGACGAGTGCAGTCAGAGGATCACAGTAACGTTTTTCTATCAGAATGTGAAAAATCATAAATTTAAATTATACAGGGTGGTTGTCGTGTTATTTAGTCAATCAACTGGGGTTATTTTCGTACTTTGGTGTATGAAACGTTGTAGTCTCCGAGTCTGAGAGAATAGCTCAGCAGCGTGGGCACTTAATGTGGCACGCTTTTCGTAGGAAAAAATTAGTTGGTCCATTAAGTCGTCGGAGAACAGTATTATCTACAATTAAATTCAATTCAAAACCCTCCACATTCTTTTTACAAAAAAAAATAAAATTTCAAAGCCTTCCTCAAATTACCACTTTATGGTAGGATGAATGAAGCATTTATATGTGTTAAATCCATGAGACTAGTCAAGGTGGTGTTGAGGTTGTCGTGAACTCAAGAATTAGAGAAAGAAAAAAAAATTCGGATTAGAATAGGTTACAGGTTCGATTTGGAGTGTGACGTGCAAATATACATATATTTTTAATAGAATTGTAAAAACTTTCGTTCAATATGTCGTTAATTAATCATAATTGTAAAGATTAAACGTCACCAAAATTGCATTGAGTGGGGTTTCTATCTATAAATTCAACTAAATAAATCATACGTGTAGTTTTCGAGTGATTATAATTATTAGACATGGAAGAGAAGATGCATGCTATGACTGGGAAATGATACACGAAAGGGGCCTTTGTTGACCGTGGACTCTAGTTATATAAGTCTGAGGAGCAATCCATTTTCAATCTTGTGCGCATCAACCTGCACGGCACCCTCTTCTTCCTAACGAATGAGAAAGGCTGCCTGCCAGAGTTTTGACTACAAAACAAATCCTTGTTTGTATGTTTTAACTTCTGAAGTTGACATTTTGAATTCTCTGCACAAACAAATTTGGCAACTCTTCTTAGTATCAATCCACATTTATACACTGGAGCTTTTGATTAGAAATGATGACAAAAAGGAAGACACAGAGAAAAAATGCTACGAGACTTCATTCGCTTACATGAATCACACAGATTTCCGTCGACACAATTTACAAGTCAATCAAATAGTTTGAGTGGGAGTTTGACTACCCAATCTAAAATGGCACGTGTGTTGAAATCATGGGTGTTGTTTTGCATACGATTAATTTTTATCTAACAGTAACACCATCACGTGATGTACATGTTACACTAATTCTACTCGTATTATAACAGGTGTGTCTTTTGAGATTAAGGATCAATTGTGTTTCATGAGCGTTGAAAATCAGTTGTTTTTTTGGATAAGTTCTAATCATTAATCCAAAATAATTGGACAAAAATGGCGTGAAATGACATTGTAATAAAGTTGATGAGAAAATGAGAGGACGCACGTTGTAAGCCAGCGGAGGAAAAGGGAAAACAAACAAGTGCTGTAATCTTGATACATCTTTTGTTTCAGCTATTTACTTACTTTTTCGTGCACAACCTAAATCCACCATGCATTCTTTCAAGTTTCGACATTTCCTACGAGCCCTGAACCAACAAACTTTTTTGGGGCGGCACCAACTAACTCTTTCAGGAATTCCTCCAGCGGCTGAAACACCTACCCTGCTTCCAAGTATTACAAGTTTAATTTTAAGTTCAAAATACTTAAAACTACAGCCATGTCAATATGGATAGAAAGCAGTCTGAAATTGGCTAAAATTACAGTGCTCTGTAAAAAGGTTTAATTTGAGAGAACTCTGTAACATGGTGACTGTGCTCTAGAAATTGGCTTAAATTACAGTGCTCAAATCCCTCGTTAAAATTAACCTTCATATGGTCAACAACAACAGCATGGGTGAAACAAACAGTCATCTACATATGACCAAAAGTAAGTGGTACACAAAAAAGTAATGTAGTTCAGTCTTATCCAAGAGATGACTAAAGAACACTTGCCTTGAGAGTGAGATCAAGTATCGCATGTATTTTGAGAATCAGACCACAACATGAGAGTTGCCAGAAGAGCCACAGTTGCAGTTTCAACCCGTAATCGATGTGGGCCAAGACCAACAGAGATAGCACCAGCTTGCATCAATTCATTCACCTCTTTCTCAGTGAAGTCTGAAGCAAGAACATGGAAAAATAGATCCACAATCCTAAGTAGTACACTCAGTATTGAAAACTAAACTACATTAGCATATATGATATATTTACGAGTGTACAAGAGGCATAGGATGAACATAATGAGAGACTGAATACTAAGCACCAAACATACTGGAAAATCAGAGCACACAAACAATTGTTGGTGGTTTATTCCAACATAAACCTTAATAGAAATTTGGGTAAATTTTACTCACAGTTTGACCCAGACTTTTCTTCTTCCCAATTTTGTTAACAATTTGCTGCATACCTTCTAATTGCCTGATATTCAATTGATATTAAAATTCTTATTAATTTTGGTTCGCCAATCAAACCTCCAATTTGTTTCCAAAACCCTTCATCAAGTCAAAGTCATAATTGGCCTAATCAATTTTGCATCAATCTGTCACCCTGAATCTCATTATTTGGGGATAAAAATTCAGGATTTTGGTGCTGTCCAGAAAACTAATTCAAAAGGAGAAAAGTTTCTGATTTTCAAGTTTTATTTATATGCCCGGTGATTGGTATGCAGCAAACGTGATAAAAAGAAAACATTTACAGGATGCATACTTACCACCTTCAGGTCCAACCACAATCAACCCACTGGACTCCGTTCCTGACGAAGTTAATGCACTAACAAGAGGAGTACCTTCTGCAACTGCCAACAAAGCTAGCTTTGACTCTGCAACCTATGAAACAAAATTGTATATATGTAATTTAAAATAACAATGGAAAGGAAGTAAGTTGATATCCTGAATAGCATCAACATCAATGAGAAAAATATGTCAAAGAGCATATTATTAATGTGGAACTACAACTCTCTGCCGCAAGAAAATTGCATGTAACATTTTAAGTCCAAACGATACTAAAAGAATAACAACAGTTTGTCAGTGACCTATACTATAGAACGGGCCAGAGTGCACATCAATAAACCAACCTTTGAAATGAAACAAAATAGGAAGAAAGCACTCACAAGAGGTAAAAGACCATTAATATTCGTTGGAGGATTCAAGATCATTTCATGCAGCCGTTGACCTGTGAAAATAGACATGTGCAAAAAATTTGAATTTTATTATTTCGAATAAAAAGTTTTATAGGACATGTCTGTCAGCACTACATGTATATTAGAATAAGGGTGAAGCTTCTTTTACATTGTTTAGCTGCTGCCATATTGACACGCTGCAACCTGTCTAGTCGATTTTCTGAGACAGTAGGAGACCGTTCTGTCAGCAGAGGAGTTAAACTACCAGCCCCCAGCTCCTAAGACAACAAATACAAAAACAATACAATTAGCAGCAATGGCGGTTATGCACTATCCCTATAGTCATCACAAAAACATGAATTATACCGTGCATTTCTCAACAAGCCAATCAGCTCGACCACCCTTTAAAGTACCTAAACAGGGGCAACATGTTAATATGTGACAACAATATTCCCCTATGCCTTAACCACTCTTACAAAACATTCCCCCCGAAATTGGAAATCTAATGAACTCACCAAAAGCTGCAAATACATGCCATTGTGTGCTCTGTGGAAGAACTGACTTTGGATCTTCCAATGCCAAAAAATCAAGTCCAGAGCGGTCGACGCTCTGAATTAAACCTTGTATCAAACCTCCTTTCCCATTGAAGAGCTCTACCCTTGCATGCATTATGTGGACAATCATTAAAATACACAAGTGTAATGCAATTTCCTAAACAAAATTGAACCTTTCATAGTTCCAAATTCAACGCAATCCAATTGCAATTTGTTCATTTAACATGAGATCAAATTGATGGAGTTGATTAGGAGTTAGGTACCTATCGTTTGTGCGCAATCTTAAAACTTTGGTCATGTGCCAGAACTCATCCCCTTGTACGCGAACCATGCCTCCCTGTATAGAGAACAAACAATAAGAGCCTACATTTACTCTGAGAGAGAGAGAGAGAGAGAGAGAGAGAGAGAGAGTGCCTTGGAAGTAGGGAGAAGCTCGGAGAAGAAGCGAGGGAGGCCACCGCGGGACTGGTTGGAGTAATCTGAAGAAGAAGAAGAGAATGCTCGAGGGCTCAAGGTTCTGAGAGAGAGCGACGAAGGATTCAAGCTCCACAGCCTCGCAAAACGAGGTCGTATTGGCGTTAGGGTTTGCATTTCCCACCAATTTCAGAGTGCTTGGAGTTGAGCTGTGCTTTTTCAAAGTTCTCCGCTCTGTTTTGGTGGGTGTTGTCCGGGAAAAGCATGCCATGCTGTTTGTAAACGACAATCATATATCTACGACATGGACGACATAAAAAATATATTTGAATAGTTCGTTGTACGGGTAGTGTTAAAGTGATTTTGAACTTGACATGAAACTCAAACGGATCTAATCAGAGGGTGGTCCTTGCTTGCTGGTTGAAATCCACATAATTAAGTATTTATAATCAGATAATTTGATTACATAAGGAGAATTATGGATATTCTTCTAATACATAGAGCTTAATATCGACTCTTTTAACAGATGAAAGACTGAACTAAGGCAAGATAGACTTGTCAATTCGTACAAGTTCTTTGGCCACATCAATCATATCTGGCCTCGCTTCAGTTTCCTCTTGGATGCACAACAATGCCAGTGCTAGGAAATCCTGCAGTTGCTGTTGTGCTTGCTCATCTCCCCCGACTTCCTCAAGGATTTTAGGGTCCGCAATTATCTCTATTTGAATCTGTCCATCAGAAACATTAAGTTTCGGATCTTTAGTAAGTAGTTCCTCATGTCCTGAGTTTCTATCCACAGCTTTTCGTCGCATCAAGAATATAAGTAAAAGCACACCAAAGCTATAAACATCAGTTTTTTCTGAACTTATATAATAATTTTGGTAAGTAGGGTCCATGTACCCGTGTGTCCCTGATGAGAAATTTTCTTGAACATACAATTGGTCAGGAGGAATGGTTATGGAGAATGTAAAGTCGAAGAGTTTGGGAACATAGTCATCGTCCAATAAAATGCAGTGGGATGTTATACTCCTATGAACGATGGGCCTTGGAAAGGCAGTATGTAGGTATGTAAGTGCATTAGCAAGCTGCTTTGCAATACGCAGTCTAGTTTTCCATGGTAATAATTCATCATCCACTGCTAAACTCCCATCATTGTTGAGACCTCCTTTTCCTGCATTTTCAAACACCAAAGCTGGTGTATCGAACTCTAAGCAGCAGCCTAATAATTTCAAGGAATTCTTATGGGTGCTCATCTGCATTGATATGATAATATCACGAATAGCCCAGTCGACGACATAATGCTTCTTAATGATAACTGTTCGGTCATCTAGAATACCCCTGTAAATGTCGTAGCATAATCTATCTATCACGCAAGAAGGATCAAAGTTGTTGGTAGCTCTGATGATCTCAGCAGCAGAGTAACAACGAATAGGATGAGATTTTCCATCACAAGAAGCAATTAGATCCTTTAGTAAGATGCTTCCATTCTTCAAGAATGATCTCTTTCTTTCCTCCTTTCGCTTTACACGTCGAATGATTGAGAACCTGATATGTAGACGCACACAAGAGCGCACACAACGCACACATAAATGAATAAGAAATCGATGAAATGAAAATAAGTAATCTATCCCAATTCTCAAGAAAAGACATTTAGCACCCACACTTAGCTTTCATATATTTCTTACAAACTGAGAAACAATAATATTCATGGATTACTTTGATTTACAAAAGACCTTGAAGGAAAGGAAAGCTATATATTTTTGTTAAACGATTAAAACCAGGGAAAAAAAACTTACAAGGTTTTGGATGCCATTGTTTACACTTGAAATTTCTCCCTTTAGCACCGAGGCACCTTAGAACTGGACTCAGATTGCCCCAAAGTAAACAGTAAGTTGTTGATATCTCCCTGTATGCTGCAGATTTCGTGCTCAGGCACCAGTAATTTGTTTAATCAAATTGGGAAGATGCATGGCAGCTGCGCCCAACTGAAGGATAGACCTGTCGGGTTGACTTGACTCCATTCGAGTCGTTTGCTTGGAGATCATGGGGATCTATTTATTCGTTCGTACTCTTAAACAGTATATATCATCATCACCCTTTTCCTTGTCATTGTCTTTTCCGTGTTCCTTCCTTCCCCCAAACAATCACCTTTTGACTTGAAAGAAAAATTGCAATATCAAGAAAACCTCAGATAGAGAGAAAAATCTACATGAACTTCCTGGAAGCTGCGGTTCACTAGTAACAAAGCTAACTGAAATAGTTCTATGTGGCTCTTTCTACTTTACACATGGCAAAGAAAGCACCTACTCAGTACATGCCAAAATACCATTTTCTCCCCTTTCATGATCAAATACCATTTTAAAAATACAAGCAACTTGGGTCATTGTGACAAAATCACAAACATCTACCATGCCAACAGAAAAAAAATAAATAAATAAATAAATCCTCAAGGTAACTGAAAAAATAAAAATAAAAAGCAAAAAACTTACAAGAATATGAATATCATTTTTTCGACTTCAAATCTCTCTGTTTAACACCAAGAAAACAGTAATATGTTAATATCTCCTCCCACTCTACTGTAGATTTCGTGTTCAAGCAGCAGTTTAGCTCTTTACTCTCATTCTCTCTGAGAAATTGCAAGCTCAATGCCCGGTTATGAATACTAGGAAAGGAACTAGGGATGACAAAAATCCCCGCGGGGATGGGTCCCCAATCCTAATGAGGGGAGATTTCGGGACCAAACGGGTATCGGGTATGGAGATCCCCGAACTTGAAAAATCCCCTACGGGTATGGGGAGGGGATGGTATTGGCATCCCCATCCCCGAACCCGACCAGAACATATATGTGTATATGTTTATATTTAAATAAATAAATATATAATTATAATATTTTTGTTTAATCCTAAGTTAACATCCCTCTCTTAATTTTTCCTAATCTTCTTTGGAATTTCATATTAATATGATTTTGAATAGTTGAGTTGAACTTTATTGTTAATTTGAATGCATTGAATGATAATTTAATATGAAATTTAATGTTAAAATATATTATAAATATTTTTTATACAAAAAAAATTGGGGATTCGAGGCGGATATGAGGAATAGTCCCTCGACGGGAACGGAGATAGGGATTCCCCGAAACTTATTAAACGGGGATGGTTCAGGAACAGGGGCGGGGATGGAGAGAGGGAATGGGGATGTTATCGTCATACCCGACCCCTACCCAACCCGTTGCCATCCCTAAAAGGAACCCAAAACTTTGTATTGTCACAGTCCTTGAGGTTTAGTGTAATTACGGACAGATTTCATTAATTCCACATACCCCACCTAACTTTAAAATCTGTGACAAACAGTCAAAGGCCAAATGCTGTCGTTTGCATCTTACAAAACAAAACAAAATAAATAAAAATGATTTATCTTTTTCAGATACAAAAATTGTCGTAAACATTTTTTCACATTTAAAAGAGAAAAAATTAAAGATATCAATGGGGAAGTAGGTGCTAGGCGGTTGGTTCTAGGATACTTGTGTGTACCTAGTAAATTGGCCTCTTAAAAAGTTGAGAGCGTGACATTTTATGAAAGATATGGTGATTGTATAACTTGTACTTGATGAGAGAAACTTGTAATATTGCAAACTATGGAGAAAATTCGCTAAGTGGTATGTGTTGATGTTGTAGCAGACGAACTAAAACACGAGAAGATCCTTCAATAATGATATTGGAGATACCAAATTTTCTAGCACAAAATCGTCCAAATTTTAACAATTCTTCGGTAAGTAGTGGATGGAAGGCACACAATTGAATTTTCTTGATCTTGTTTTTCAAAACTTTAATTAAATTTGTATATATTTTCTTTAATTTGACATCTCAAAGATTAATCTAATACTTTTATATATCTCTATTTTTCATCCGTCAAACTTAGATTTTTAATAAAAGAAAGTAACATAAGGAGTTTAAATGAAATAAAAGAAACCTGTAAGGTCTGATTGCAATTACACCAAACCTCGTATAGTGTAACTGAAATTGTCCGTTTTATGTATTTGTTGGGAAGAAGATGCACGGAAGCTTCCTCCAATTCCTTGAATAGAAAGAAAATAGGTTGCCTTCCCCTCTATTCCCAGGCCGATTTGGGATATCAAGAAAGGACCACACGCATTAGGAAGACAGTCAGAAATAAGATTAAAACAAAGTAGATGTGAGAAGAGAGAATTGCTTGAAATGATGACTTCATTTTCCCTAATTTTAGTGTGAGTCATCTTCTTTTTTCTTTGTCCAATTTTTTTTTTCCAGTTACACATGATGCTTTCAAGAAATGTTTTTTTCCTTACAAACAACTTTCGGGATTCAGCCACATGAAAATTTCGATTGAGAGCCTCTGTCGAAGTCTCTGAGGTTGATTAACACTTTATATAATATTGTCGAGCAGCAATGATATACACGTGCTTGCTTTCGTACACTATCAGAAATCGACACCAAGTAACTGAAAAAATCACGAGGTCAGGGTTTATAATTGAGAGAAAACTGTAAAATTGGTGTAATTATATATGCACTTTGAGGACAAGACCAAATTGAGAAGATGCACAATGCCAAGGAAAATAGTAATTTGCTGATACTATAAGACGATGCATGGCCTGATGGGATCCTCGGATAGCATGCTTCTATTCTTTAAGAATGATCTCGCTCTTTCCTCCTCTGTGAATCATGGAATCAATGAGAGCCTGATACGTATTTATACGTATAGGTCATCAAACACAAGCACAAAGAATGAAATAAATTGATCACACACACATGGAGCCATTAATGTTCCTACACCCTACAGATAAGTTGAATTGTGTAGTAAAAACATTTTGAACTTCACAAGTGAAATTCAAACAGATCAAGTCAGAGCGTGGTGCTTTGCTTGAAAACTTTCATAATTTTTCACAATATAACTCAATTATTCAAGTGTATATATTCTTCTAATACAGATAGAATAGCATCAACCCTTCACCAGTTGAAGGACTGAGCTTCCAAACTACAATTTGATACGGCATAACAAATGTAATGGATAAATTATTTAAGCTAGCTAGCTAAGGGAAGATGGACTTCTCAATTCGAACAAGTTCTTTGGCCACATCAATCATTTTTGGCCTTTCTTCAGTTTGGTTTTGGATGCATGACAGTGCAAGTGCTAAAAAATCCTGCAGTTGCTGTTGTGCATGCCCATCTGCCCCTACCTCCTGTAATATTTTAGGATCCACAATTGTCTGAATTTGAGTCTGGCCATCAGAAACATGAAATTTCGGATTTGCAGTAATGTCCAGTCCTCCTGCTTGATTGCTATATGCATCTCTTCGCGTCAGGAGTACAAGGTAGTCGGGGTCAGTGTACCCAGATGCCCTTATTTTGTTATCGCCTTTGACATGGGATTGCGCACTTATGGAGAATGAAAAGTTGGAGAGTTTGGGAACATAGTCATCATCCAACAAAATGCAGTTGGATCTCAGATTCCTATGAAAGATGGGTCTAGAAAAGGTGGTATGGAGATATGTAAGTGCATTAGCAAGCTGCTTCGCAATATGCAATCTAGTTTTCCATGGTAACAAGGATTGACCTCCATTAGCCGCGCTTAAACTTCCATCATCCCTGAGAACTCCTTTTGCTGCATTTTCATGCACCAGAGCTGGTAGAGGGAACTCTAAGCAGCAACCTAATAATTTCAAAGCATTCTTATGGGAGCTCATCTGCATTGATATCACGAATATCACGAATAGCACGAGACCTAACATCATCATTGTCCTTGTCATTCTTACGGATAATGTACTTCCTAATGATAATTGTTCGGTTGTCTAGAACACCATTGAAAATTTGGCAGTCTCCATCATCTTGTATGATGCGAGAAAGATCGAAGTTGTTGGTAGCCCCGACGAGCTCAGCAGCTGAGTAAGAGCGAATAGGTATCCTCTAGTAAGATGCTTCCGTTATCCAAGAATGATCTCTCTCTTTCCTTGTTGTTCTTGCTTGAACGTGGAAACAATGAGAACCTAATACATACATATATAGGTAAAACACAAACGCACAAGAATGAATAATTACAACCACAGTTGCTTTCATTTTGTTCTTTAGAAATTCACATGAAATCCAAAGATATCACATAAAATTTTGAAATAATCGTATAATTAAATCACAAGAAAAAGAAAAAAGAAAAGAAAAAAAAAAGAGCGGTGGGCACGTGAAGATGAGCAGACGAAGGGACACACGCGTTGGCTCTTGGTTGGAGAGAAAGGAAGTTTAAAAAAAAAAATTGGGTTGGGTTTCAGCCCCATCTACGACATGGACGACATAAAATAAAAACACACTTGAATAGCCTATTTTCGTCTTACAAACTACAAACTGGTAAGCTCTTCTAGATCCGCATGCATAGTAAATGTAGTACATAAATTAATTAAGCTAGCTAGCTAGCTAAGGCAAGATAGACTTGTCAATTCGTACAAGCTCTTTGGCAACATCAATCATATCTGGCCTTGCTTCAGTTTTCTCTTGCATGCATAACAATGCCAGTGCTAGGAAATCCTGCAGTTGCTGTTGTGCTTGCTCATCTCCCCCGACTTCCCCAAGGATTTTAGGGTCTGCAATTGTCTCTATTTGAATCTGTCCATCAGAAACATTAAGTTTCGGATCTCTAGTAAGGTATTCCCGCACAATTCTTGCTTTTCGTCGCATTAAGAATACAAGTAAAACCACACCAAAGCTATAAACATCAGTTTTCTCTGAACATATATATTGTGTTTGGTAAGTAGGGTCCATGTACCCCACTGTCCCTCTTGGGAAATCTTCAACATACAATTGGTCAGGAGGAATGGTTATGGACAATGAAAAGTCGAAGAGTTTGGGAACATAGTCATCGTCCAATAAAACGCAGCAGGATGATACACACCTATGAATGATGGGCCTTGGAAAGGCGGTATGGAGGAATGTAAGTGCACTAGCAAGCTGCTTTGCAATACGCAGTCTAGTTTTCCATGGTAATAATTCATTATCCGCTACTAAACTTCCATCAAAGTTGAGACCTCCTTTTCCTGCATTTTCAAACACCAAAGCTGGTCTATCGAACTCTAAGCAGCAGCCTAATAATTTCAAGGAATTCTTATGGGTGCTCATCTGCATTGATATGATAATATCACGAATAGCCTTGTCGACCCTATGTCTGTACTTCTTAATGATAACTGTTCGGTCATCTAGAATAGCCCTGTACATGTTGAACTGTACTAATTCATCTATAATGCAAGAACGATCAAAGTTGTTAGTAGCTCTGATGATCTCAGCAGCAGAGTAACAATGAATAGGATGAGATTTTCCATCACAAGAAGCAATTAGATCCTCTAGTAACATGCTTCCATTCTTCAAGAATGATCTCTTTCTTTCCTCCTTTTCCTCCTTTTCCTCCTTTCGCTTTACACGTGGAATGATTGAGAACCTGATATATAGACACACACAAGAGCCCACACAACGCACAAAGGAATGAATAAGAAATCGATGAAATGAAAATAAATAATTCTCAAGAAAAGACATAGCATTAGCACCCACACTTTGCTTTCATTTCGTTCTTTAAAACTTTACATGAAATCCAAACAGATCAAATCTCAGCTTTCTTACAAACTGAGAAACAATAATAATACTCTGTTTTATGGATGGAAGAAAAACAAATACTTGTCCTGCCGCTTTCATCATATTCATAGATTACTTTGATTTACAACAAAAATTTGGGCTTCAGCCGCACGAAAATTTGGACTTACTAAAAAAACCTTGAAGGAAAGGAAAGCTATATATTTTTGTTAAACGATTAAAACCCGGGAAAAAAAAAACTTACAAGGCTTTGGATGCCATTGTTTACACTTGAAATTTCTGTGTTTAGCACACAGGCCCCTTAGAACTGGACTCGGATTGCCCCAAAGTAAACAGTAATTTGTTGATATCTCCTCCCTGTATGCCGCAGATTTCGTGGTCAAGCAACGGTAATTTGTATAATCAAATTGGGAAGATGCATGGCAGCTGCGCCCAACTGAAGGGTAGACCTCTTGACTCGACATGATTTATAGTCATTCGGGGGAGTTGGAATTTCCAAGTTGTAAAGTCTAAAAACCACTCATGAATTATTTGTTCGTTACTCTTAAACAGTATATATCATCACCCTTTTCCTCGTCCTTGTCTTTTCCGTGTTCCTACCTTCCCCCAAACAATCACCTTTTGACTTGAAAGAAAAATTGCAATATCAAGAAGGGAGAAAAATCTACATCAACTTCCAGGAAGCTGCGGTTCACTAGTAACAAAGTTAACTGAAATAGTTCTATGTGGCTCTTTCTACTTTACACATAGCAAAGAAAGCACCTGCTAAGTACATGCCAAAATACCATTTCCTCCCCCTTCATGATCAAACACAACCAAAAAGGAAGCCCTATTAAAAATACAAGCAACTTGGGTCATTGTGACAAAATCACAAACACCTACCATGCCAACAGAAGAAAAAAAAAAAAAAACCCTCAAGGTAACTGAAAAAATAAAAAAAAAAAGTGAAAAACTTACAAGAATATGAATGACATTTTTTCAACTTCAAATCTCTCTGTTTAGCACCAAGAAAATAGTAATATGTTGATATCTCCTCCCATTCTACTATAGATTTCGTGTTCAAGCACCAGTTTAGCTCTTTACTCTCACTCTCTCTGAGTGCAAGCTCAACGCACTTTGAGGACAAGACCAAATTGAGAAGATGCATAATGCCAAGGAAAATAGTAATTTGCTGATACTATAAGAAGATGCATGGCCTGATGGGATCCTCGGATAGCATGAATGATCTCGCTCTTTCCTCCTCTGTGAATCATGGAATCAATGAGAGCCTGATACGTATTTATACGTATAGGTCATCAAACACAAGCACAAAGAATGAAATAAATTGATCACACATGGAGCCATTAATGTTCCTACACCCTACAGATAAGTTGATACGGCATAACAAATGTAGGATCCACAATTGTCTGAATTTGAGTCTGGCCATCAGAAACATGAAATTTCGGATTTGCAGTAATGTCCAGTCCTCCTGCCTGATTGCTATATGCAGCTCTTTGCGTCAGGAGTACAAGTAAAAGCACACCAAAGCTATAAACATCAGTTTTTTTTCATAAAGCAACCAGTTGCAAGGTAGTCGGGGTCAGTGTACCCAGATGCCCTTATTTTGTTATCGCCTTTGACATGGGATTGCGCACTTATGGAGAATGAGAAGTTGGAGAGTTTGGGAACATAGTCATCATCCAACAAAATGCAGGTGGATCTCAGATTCCTATGAAAGATGGGTCTAGAAAAGGTGGTATGGAGATATGTAAGTGCATTAGCAAGCTGCTTCGCAATACGCAATCTAGTTTTCCATGGTAACAAGGATTGACCTCCATTAGCCGCGCTTAAACTTCCATCATCCCTGAGAACTCCTTTTGCTGCATTTTCATGCACCAGAGCTGGTAGAGGGAACTCTAAGCAGCAACCTAATAATTTCAAAGCATTCTTATGGGAGCTCATCTGCATTGATATCTTAATATCACGAATAGCACGCGACCTAACTTCATCATTGTCCTTGTCATTCTTACGGATAATGTACTTCCTAATGATAATTGCTCGATTGTCTAGAACACCCTTGAACATTTGGCAGTCTCCATCATCTTGTATATGATGCGAGAAAGATCGAAGTTGTTGGTAGCCCTGACGAGCTCAGCAGCTGAGTAAGAGCGAATAGGGTTAGATTTTCCATCACAAGAAGCAATGGTATCCTCTAGTAAGATGCTTCCATTATCCAAGAATGATCTCTCTCTTTCCTTCTTGTTCTTGCTCGAACGTGGAAACAATGAGAACCTAATACATACATATATAGGTAAAACACAAACGCACAAGAATGAATAATACAAATTGATGAAATGGAAATAATTAATCAAGAAAAATACAGAACAACCACAGTTGCTTTCATTTTGTTCTTTAGAACTTCACATGAAATCCAAAGATATCACATAAAATTTTGATTTTCAATTTTAATACAAGCAATAATCTAGGTGCCATGGTTATTCTCACCAATGTAACCCATAAAATAAAATAAAAAAATAAAAAAAACAGAACATAACTTACAGGGCTTTGGATGTCATTGTTTAGCACCCAGGCCCCTTAGAACTGGACTCAGATTGCCCCAAGTAAACAATTTTTATTTGTTTGAGAAATACAATGGGACGCAAAGAAGAACCAATGTTTTACTTATTTATTTATTTGTTTATTAAATACTAGTACGTGCATGTGAGAGATTTTTATTTTTTACATGCGGGATCCATTTATTTATTTAGTATCATGCACGCTCCGCCAATTTATAGGTTCTTAGGTATTTTTCGCAATTGCATGTTTTTTTTTTAAAAAACCATAATTTCTTAAGTCATAAATCAAAAATTTTGAAATAATCTTATAATTAAATCACAAGAAAAAGAAAAAAGAAAAGAAAAAAAAAAGAGCGGTGGGCACGTGAAGATGAGCAGACGAAGGGACACACGCGTTGGCTCTTGGTTGGAGAGAAAGGAAGTTAAAAAAAAAAAAAATTGGGTTGGGTTTCAGCCCCATCTACGACATGGACGACATAAAATAAAAACACACTTGAATAGCCTATTTTCGTCTTACAAACTACAAACTGGTAAGCTCTTCTAGATCCGCATGCATAGTAAATGTAGTACATAAATTAATTAAGCTAGCTAACTAAGGCAAGATAGACTTGTCAATTCGTACAAGC